ATATTGCTGGCAATTTTTCCTCGCATAAATTTTCCATCTTAATAACAGTGAATAAGCATAGAATTTGAAAAATATAAAATTCAAATCCAAATTTAGCAAAAAATATAAGAATATAAATAAAACTAATAAAACAGTATGATTTTTTGCATGTAATCATAAATTTAAGAAAAAAATTATTTCCAAAAAAAAAAAATAGAATTTAGTAGGAGTCTAAGATAAAATATTCAGCCAACTGAGTAATCAGCCTAATCAGTCTAATCAGTAATGGTGCGAGCTGTTAGAGGAATAAAAAGATAGTGGACTAAATTTTTTTTTTTTGCTTAGTTATTATTATTAAACTTTTTCTATGTTTTTCTCGACTCGATAAGTTTTTACTCGAAATAAAATACTTTTATTTCTACTCGTCGAAATAAATTCTTATAGATAAATATCGATAGAGAAGGAAATGACAAAAAAAAATTCCACTATTCTAGAAAATAACTTCCTGAAATCTTTTTTTAACGAAAATATATGTATATAAATTTAGATTTTCGTTAAAAAAAGATATATATACATATAAATTTTATTAATTAATTTTTATATTAAAATCAAGTTTTGTTATTCTTATTATTCTTTGATAAGTGCTATCATTAAGAATTATCCTTTGATAAGCGCTATCATTAAAAACGAAATTCGAAAATTGCAAATTCATCAACTTATATTTTCTACTAACTCAATTAACTCTCTAGCCAAGCGATCGCATTCTAACATTGCCAAATGCATTCAACCAAATTCAAGAAAATTTGTTGAATATTAATAGAAGAAGAAGAAGCGCATATAAAAAATTAAATTAACATTAATTAATATTAATTTTAATATATTTTAATTTTATTTTAATTTTAATTTAATTTTAATAATTTTAATTAATTATATAAATTAATATTAAATTATTTTCATATTTCATTTTTTTTCTTTTTCATAGAAAAATCAAAATTTTTTTATATATTCCACAAGTAAAAAATTTTTTTTATAATATAATTTTATGCAAAGAAAAAAAGAATAAAAATATGCAAATTTTTATTATTTCATTCATATTTTAGTGCAAAAATAATTTATTTTAGAAGTTTAGGCGTTCATAATTTTTCTTGTTTCGATACGCTTCACTAATTTTTCTTGAAAATTACTTGTTAAAAATTCATTTTAAAAATAGAAGTACCAATTGATTATCAATGCTATACGAATTTTTCTAAATCACAAATCCATATCGGAGATAAAAAAATTGAGTTTAACTCTCTTATTGACTTCCAACACGGTAATCACCACTATCAGTTATACTTTATCCATTTTAAAATTAGCCGACATTTTATTATTTCATTAATTTTATGTAAAATCGTCGAATGGCAAATTACAAGAGCGATAGCGACTATTTGAAAATTCTCTATCATCGAGAATTTCACCTTAAATAATAAAATATTTTGAAAAAATACAACAAAAATCAGAACATTATTAATGCGTTTAAAATTTGAAAATTTGGAAATAATAAATCAAAAAAATTTTTTTTTAAAAAAATCTTGAAAAAATTTTCAAACAATCGAACCAATTTTAGATAAAAAAGATTAATTGATATGAAAAAATTATTGCTGATAAAAGATCAAAACTAAAAAGCGATATGAAAAATAATATATTTTTAATATATTATTAACTATTAGTTTAACTAAATTCTTAGCAAAAAGCAATGAGAATAAAAAATAATTGTGAGAAATCCTTTAGCGTTATTTTTAGATTTTATAAATTTTATATAATTTTTTGTAATAAAATAATAATAATTTTTTATAATGCAATAATAATTTATATTTTATAATTTTACGATACTTATTTTATCCTATTTTAAAATATTATTCTGAATTAAAATTGTTCAACATTTTCTTCTTCATTCATAAATAGAAATGAGAATAGAGAACCATAAATAGCGAATTAATGTTGGTACTTTTGCTAGGTAACAAAATATTTCACAAATTTACTAAATCATTCAATAGAAATGCTGGAAATGCTGCTTATAACCAGCGCAACCCAGCCTTATTAATAATGGTGAAATACGATGAAAGCTTTTAGAAGATTTTTATTTATCACATTATTTTTGGATTTATATTCTCCTTAAGCCTGACAACTTAGTATTCGATTGAACGGATAAGCGCTTATTTGTTTCATATTTTTAATTAATTCCACCACACATGAGTGACGGATCGAATGGATTGTCAGTTATATCCTTGTAAAATGATAATATATTTTTATATTTTATTTTTATTTTTATTTTTAGTGACATTTTTGGTCATTCATTCATCATTTATCTGTAATTCCATTCTAATAAGGGATAAAATGGCTTGATTGGTTGACGTTCAATTCGGAGCGCCGATACTAAGGTTCTATTCCCAGCAGGAGTAAACCTGTCCAAAAATCCAAGTGATGCTGGCGACTCACCTGTATTTCTATCGCCAAGAGACCCTTTCGCGTATTTGCCCAATCAACAAACCAGCGAAGCGAGTTTAACCAGTAATGGTAAAAATTCCTACTAAAAAATAGAAAAAAATCCCATTCTAATAATTATTTTTGAATGTAAATTATATTAACAGTTGCGTTTTCGAAATATTTCAACGAATCTCGATGCTGATAAATCATAACCTTGAAAAAATAATCAAATTGCATAATTAATTATAAGTCGTCAAAGTTCTGCTTGGTTACATAGAATTTCTCATAGGATCCCATTTGGTACCAAAAAGCACCGACGCCACTTCGAATCCAATTTCTAATCCTATATCCGCATATGCGTTTCCGAACAGCTCCTTGTAAAAAATTCTCATCATACTAAAAGTCAAACTGAGCTAAATTAAGTCTAATTAGAAACCAAAGCAAGATTTAATTTAACTTATATATATATATAATTCTATATGGTTATGTCAAATTCGACCAGCGTCACCGTTTAATATACTATGATTTTAGTTTAAATTTTAACCCAACAAAATCATATAGGCTAAAATTATTAAAACCGAAGTGCAAAACTAAACTAAGAGCGCATGCATGACTTTTTTATTTGCACCATTAGTTACCGGAATAAACTGCCGAATGATATAGTTTGTGCATCATTTTTAGATATTCTTAGATATTTAAAAAAAATTAAATAATATTATCCATAATATTTAAAGGTTCACATTATGGAGATAGTCTCGATTTTTTATCATCCAATTATGCATTCAATAATACATTCAGTTCGACTTGGGTCATTCTATAATTGCTCTTTATCTTTCATTCTATATTGTTAGCTTCTGGTCCTTTTTGGTTCACATATCGCTCACCAATTTCTTTTCATTGACATTACTTTGTTGTTATTAATACGAGTATATGGTGCTTGTCGCCTTATTTGTTTCAAATAAATGATATGAACCAAACCACTCAATTCATTTACATTTATATGAGATTACACTTGAAGATGCCTGAAAATGTACATAAAAGCTAAAGCGATTTATTTATTTGAATCTTTTATAAATCAACGCACGCAGAAAACACTAACACAGTTGACTGAAAAGAATTTATAAAAAAAAATTTAAATAATTGTAAAAATACAAAATTATAAAAAAATAGATTTACCAAGAAAAAACTGACTGAATTATTCAAAAAACCATTTTTATTAAATCAATTTTAAATTCATTTGGCCAAATAAAAAAATCCTGAGGCAGCCGCTGGCCTTAAAATGTTTTAAAAAAACTTAAAGAATCCTGCAACACGTTTAAAGCCCAGAAAATATCAAAATTCCTGAAAATCTAAAAAATTAATCGCTCAAAAATGGATTTAAAAAAATAATATAAAAAGCATCAATCATACCGCCCAAAATTTCGGATAAATTAAGAATTTGTAATTATTTCCTAGAAAAACATATATTATTTTTATGTTTATTTTATAGACATAAAAAATATATTTAAATATAACTTAAATATAAAAATGTAGAAATGTTGATATTTTGTATTAGCAAAGATAATTGAAAATTTATTATTACGACAATTACAAAGTCTTAATAATCACGAAATTTGGATGGAAATTTTGCGAAAAAAAACGAAAAAAAAAATAAAAGTGCGATTAGATTGAGGAGATCGATCAAAATGCTTTTTAAAAAAATGCGAAATTAGATTTTTTTCTATTAAAAATTAAAAATTAGAAAGATATAATAATTTATCAATTCAGATTAGTGACCTAAAATTTTCGGGCTCATTACTCGTTCCTACTTTACACTTTGAAGAAATAAGAAATACAACTTTTACTTTTACAAAAGTATAACAAAGAAAAAAAGGAAAATCAGCAAAATCAAATGTTGCTAAATATTAAGAGAACTAAAAAAAACCACACAAGTTTGGAAGAAATCGATGCTTAATTATTAATAACCAATCTTCCTAATATTTTTTATTTCAATGAACCAGTCGAGCAGAAAAAAATTTCTACATATTCATTGGTATCGATAATAATGAAAAATATTGGCATAAAAGATTGAAAAATTTCAAAGAAATAAAGAAAATCAGCAAATTCAAACGTTTCTAAACATTAAAGAGAACTAAAACACATAACTTTTGAATAAACCGATTCTTCAAATTGATAATGTCAATCAGGTAGCGATTTTTAATGAAATTTAATATTCCCTCTTATACCGAATCATCTGCAAATTCAATAATTAATTTGTAGGGAAAGGAATCAAATTTAAATATTAATGGTAATAGTAGCTAATATCAGGTGAACAAAACCTGAACCTATCTTTCAAGAATCCCAGCAATCTGGTGACTCCTCTATCGCGAATTGATTCTTTAGTAAAATTCGTCTGTTTCGATAAGTCAACGTGGCGATTATACTCTAAATTCTCACCTCAACTGGACCTAACTTCTCTTCTTAGCCAAATGCACCATTCATCCATTAGGTTGGCCTAGCTGACTACAAAAATGAGATTTCCAGGTTAGACTTAACACTTAAGAATTAAAAAAAAACTAACCATGAAACCACCAGCGCGTACTGCTTGGATTTTGGCTACATGTACGAACGTAAAATGCATTATCTGGAGGTCGTTTCTTCTCTTTGCAGGATGATAGCATTGATATAACTGATAAACAAATAGCTTGCACGGATAACGCTGGAGTCCAATCGTCGCTAAGTATTGATAAGCAAATATGGCCATTAGAATATACATGAGGATGCACAGGAATGTTATCTCCAACGAACATCACTTCGGGTGATGAAAATGGATACTGATCAGGAAAACGAAACTGAAAATTTTATATTTTTTGAATTGACTAAATCGGAATTTTTATGAAATTTCAATTTAAAATTTTAAAATCATCGATTTAACTTTATAAATAAAGAAAAAAACGAAAAAACACTATTTAAAAAATAAAATAAATTTAATCTAATATTTTTATAATTCGATATTTGATATATCCCATACATTTAACATTTTGATCGATATTTGATCGATTAACTCGCGAAAAATCCCCTCCTATGGACAAAAATTAGCCAGCTTGAGTAAAATTTTTAAACCATTAAAGGGCAAGACCAACGACTTGGTTCGAATATTAAATAGAGCAGATGCTTGCATGATTGAGATGAGGCACCTTTTATGAAATATATCAAAGCTTGAAAAAGTGCTAAGCTAAAAAAGATCCACAGGAATATTTAGAAAACAAGTAAATAAAAAATATTCAGAAACCAAGTAAAAAAGGAGAAATAAATAATTGAACCTGTTTTAAATGGTCAAAACGGCGTCTCAAATTTTAGGAAAGGAAAAAGATAAATATTATACATAAATAGGGATAAAGAGATTATAATCTTGCGCATCGCCTTATCTTGCTATGCACTAAGGAGATTTCAAAAGATGCCAAAGAGCTACATATAAAGACAGAACACACCGCGTGTGCCTTCTGCGCAACCTACCGGAAAATATACAAACAAAGAAAATTTTCAGAAAATAATTATCCCTATTTACAAAAATTACAAAATTTACAAAAATTATGAAAATTTAAAAGTTAAATTTCTTACTCTTAAGGTGAATTTTTCACCAGCATATAGAGTATTTGGTGCACCATCAACATTAATCGACCATATACCCAAATTATTCGCTGTATTTTCCGAAATATGAACACCAGCTGGTGGTTCCAATAAAAGTTGCTGCAGTTCTTTCTTTAGCCTCTTACTCATGGAATCCATCTTGCACTACAAAAGGAAAAAAAACGATAATGCAAATCAGTAAATAAACATAAAACGATATGATAAGATGATAATTATGATAATTGTGATAAAAATAAGTATGATACAATTAAAATGGAGATTAAAATAGAGAGTGATTCTCTACCTTTTAGAAGGGTGAAATGCTTTATGGTAGAGAAACATAGAATGGCAAAATCTAATTGTAAACCTGCCAATAACCTGCCAATACTTTTTTTTTAGGAGTACCATTACTGGCAAACTCGCTCCACTGGCTTGTCGCATTGGGCAATGTGCCATGGCGACAAAAATACGGGTGAGTCGCCATCATCACCGAATTTTTGTACAGGTTTACCCCTGCGGGAAACCAAACCTCAGCATCGGCACTCCCAATTGAGCAACAACTCACTGAGCCATCCTATCCCCAATCTGCCATCATTACTAATCTATATTAACATTACTACTAACTTTCCACTACTAACTTTCAGCTTTTAGCTATTCGCTTAACAAAAAGCAAACGACTGTCGGCTGCAATTGAATTTCGCCCTCTGTAGGCGATTGGAACTCGGAAATTTGCGGATGAAATTAGAAGAACAATAAAAAAACGGAAAGGAAGAAGTAAGGAAGGAAGAAAATGAAAAGGAAGAAAGAAAGAAAACGACAGCGATGAGTGAAGCATTTTTTTCACAGTGAACCATAGCCAACCATTGGTTTTTTTGGTTTGAGCTGCCTAATAAACTAATAATGGTACTCAATGGTACTTAATGAGACGTCAAAGATCAAACACGGCAACCCCTCCCCGTTCGATAGATTCGAATGATGAACAAACTATTTCTTCAATCAATTGCTCGAGCATACATTTTAGTAGCTTCTTATGAAAACGATCTTTTCATCTCACTCTTTTTCTCCGGCTGCAAAGCAGCAACGCTCTTTTTTTATTTCTCTTTTTCTTCTCGCTGTGATCAATAATTCAATGCTTGAATAATTCATGACGCTCGATATGTGAAAAATTCGGCTCAATGCGAATTCACATATGTATGGGAATATTATTTTTGATGCGATCGTTATTAAACATGTTTTATGTGCTCAATACAAAAGAACGCAAAACGTATGGGAAGAGAGGGGGGGGGGGGGGGGGGGGGGGGGGGGGGGGGGGGGGGGGAGTGGGGAGCGAGGGTTTTCGCGGCTCAGGTTATCATCTCAGACGGCAAGATAAAGTTGTATCTAAAGCGAATAAATTTAAAGCCATAAAAAAATGCGGGTAATGCTGGCAGCCTGCTTGCATTTCTTTCGCTAAGTCCCTAATAGTTAAGGGTTAATGTGGAATAAGCCTAACCAGAAATGATGCACGCTTAATCATTTATTTATTTATAATTTATAGTAACTTCTAAAAATTTTATTAATATTATTAAATTATATTATTATTATTAAATTACATTAAAATTTTATTAATATTATTAAATTATATTAGAATTTTATTAATAATATTATTAAATTTTATTAAAATTTTATTAATATTATTAAATTATATTAGAATTTTATTAATATTATTAAATTTTATTAAAATTTTATTAATATTATTAAATTATATTAGAATTTTATTAATATTATTAAATTTTATTAAAATTTTATTAATATTATTAAATTATATTAGAATTTTATCAATATTATTAAATTTTATCAAAATTTTATTAATATTATTAAATTGTATTAGAATTTTATTAATATTATTAAATTACATTAAAATTTTATTATTATTATTAAATTATATTAGAATTTTATTAATATTATTAAATTTTATTAAAATTTTATTAATATTATTAAATTATATTAACATTTTATTAAGATTTTATCTATTAAAATATTAATTAACATTAGTTAAATTTCGATAATGAATAATAAGTAAAAATTAAAAGCACATTGTAAAATTTTAAATTATTGGAAATCTTTGCTATTTTTTCTAAAAAAAACAAAAAAAAAAAAAACGATTGGTGATTGGTTTTAGTTATTTATGGTACCAAATAACCAATAAGAATCGGTGCTAATTGCACCGCTAGAGCACCGCCTTGTTAATCGAATCAAATTCGCTGAAGCACGTAACGATAGTTTATCAATACGATGAAACGATGTTTCACTATTCGTTTCGGCGTGAAAATTTAATTAGCACAGCCAAGTCCGTAACAAACAAATAAGAAAAATGAAAATTAGCGGAAGATTTTGAATTCGACTTAAAATTCTTTAAAATCTCAAAATATTCATAAAATCACTTGTAAAAAAAAATCATTGACCAATTCAAGAATTTTTCACGAAAATAGAGCATTTTTCTTTACGATTATTAAAATATCAGTGATAAAATATCAGTGCAGTGATAAGAGCAGTGCAATAAAAATATCAGTGCAATGATAGCATTTTCGATATTTTATGAAATGAAAGGCAGATTATTGCCACTAAGATTATTTTATAATTTTCATTATTATAGGAATTGTTTACGAAAATAGAGCATTTTTCTTAAAATACTATTATTAAAATTTCAAATATCAGTGATAAAATATTAGTGCAATGATAAGAGCAGTGGAATTGGGACAAAATTCAGCGACACTTTTCATAGAACATTTATCGAATTAACAAAATAAAAAAAAAAAGCTAAAACCCCGATAACTATAAAATAGTGTTTATTCACCGATTAGTTTATTGAAAACCGGTATAGCCTTAGGGCAATTTGTTATTTTTGGTGATTATTAAGAAAAAAGGCAATTTTTTTTCAAATATTTCAAATTTCATGACGAAGAATTTCGATTAAAAATTATGATTTTCGAAACGATTTTAGGAAAGCTTCACTCCTCTTCACTTTTAAAAACTAACAATCAAAGCTTCCCATTTCTAACCAATTTTAATGCGATTTGCTAGAAGAAGAAGAAAGACGATGATGATAAACGATGCTTTCGAAAGAATTTAAAAGTTTGAATTGCTAAAAAATTAGGATTTAATAATTTTTTTTACTTAAAAAGTACCATAAGATTTAAGGAGGAGGTGTATTGTTTCGATTAAGCTCACAAGCATCACAAGTTCCAATTAACTATGAAATGTTATGAACGCAGCCAGCTATGGTTGTCTCTATATTCCTAAAATATTACTATGGGGAAAAATTCTCATCGCAATAATCCAAAAGAATCGAGCAAATCAGAAATGGATGGTACTCTTATGCGAATAAAAAAAATATGCAACATAAGTTAATCGTCAGAAAGTATCACCAATTGCTGTATGGCTTATGGCTAAATACTAGGAGAAAAAATCGGTTTTAACCGATCAACTGGAAATAAATCAATCATAATAATTTTGAAAATTTCTAAAATTGTACGGTCGTTTCTCTAATTGGATCTGCCAAATTTTTTTTTCTTCTTACGCTATTCCTGGAACGTAAAATTTTCTAAAATAATTATGTGCTATTAAATTTTTAAAATATCTAAAAACAAAAAATTAAAATATAACTTAAATGGATTAAATTATAAATAGCAAAAAAATCCCCTGTGGGTGGCCATAATCAACCTCAACCTTGGGTGTTCTACCAGAAGAGAGGTTCTACGCAATATCTTAGTTGTTCCAAATAGTGCGCTTTTCTCGATAGAGATCCCTGATGTTGTTCCTAGAATCTTATCTCTTTTTTAATAATTTTTTCCTGTTTTATCAATTTGTTTATTATTAAAAATCCTGGAAACCTCATTTTAGAACATTTTCAAACCTCATTTTAGAACATTTAAGTCAGCTACTCCCATAGTAGGATATACCTGTAGGAAATGCGCTAGTTGGATATTGGAAACAATTATCCAGCTGTCTGAAAAGGCTGGCAAACAAATATCAGGAGGAGACCCTTACTATCGTACAATTAAAAATCGAATCAACGACAGTAGTACGATGAGGCAGAATGGATACAGAGATTAATTTAGGTAATAACAGAAAACTATTCCCCCTTCTTCATAAAGCAACTATAACTCGGGAAACAGCCAGTGGAATGATATGGGATAGTAATGGTGTGCATATTAAAAAATTGTTAAGGATTGCCTCATAGAACGAATTCTTTGAAGCCAAACTTAACCACGATAAGCCATATGTTATCTCGGATAGCTGATTTCATCGAATTATATTTTGCAACAGCGAACCGCTAGTAGAATAGGAAATAATCTCTGTAATCCAGAAGCTTAAGGCCAGTAAATTCCTAAAAATGGTTTCAGGACCGAACTCTTCAAATGTTATACTTTGTCCATCGTCATATACCTTCAATAAATATACTCTTTGATATGGAAGAAAGAAATAATACCTGATGACTGGAGCAAAGTGATCCCAATTCCCTAGAAAGGTGGTAGGACATACTGTGATAATTATCGAGGAATGAACCTGCTAGGCATCACCGAGATTCTTTCCTGCCAAATACGAGAGAAGCATGCGCCCTGAACAAACTAGACAGACACGATTATACTGACCAGATATTCACATCACAAAAGGTGTCGCTTCAAATATCCGCAACCTGCCCTTACGTGTTTCATCGACTTTGCGGCTGCCTTTGATTCAACTAGGTTTAATAAAATAAAAAATAAAATAATAATAATAATTACTCGAGAGCCGACATGAAGAAGACGGACTTCCGATAAGTAAGCCACATCCACGAGGTATTTAGAGAGAATGTGGATAGCGATCGTTTGGCTTGCAACATCCATAAGCGTTCTGAATTCCAAGCAGCTATAGCCAGCACCTCACCTAAGTGTTAACGGATAGATTCTCGCCTCTCTTGATGGGTTTTAAATACTTATCTTGGTTCGCGAATAAATTCTATGTTTTTGCCTTGGATTCAACTAATAAAATAGTGTCTTGGAGGATGATGGGGTGTGACGGTGTTCCAGAGAAAATCATTCGACATAAAAAGCATTTTGTGAGGGTACGTCGGTGCAGGTCTGTGAATGTGGGGAACTGACAGATTCCTTCGAAATAAGAACTAATGTCCGTCAAGGTTTTGTCCTTTCTCCTGCAATATTCTACTATGCGATTGACTGGGTAACGAATTGGATAATAGCATGTCGGCATCCAAAAAATATACAAATCAGTCCAGTGCATAATGTCACAAATCATGAATAAGCTGATGATATAGTCCTTTTTGCTGATAGTTATGACGAATTAAAATGATGCTAAACAGTGTGTCAACAAATGCAACCAGAATTGGACTCAATTAATACAAATCAATGTAAGCAAAAGTGTTTTCGTATCATATACTGATAAAATATCTATTTTTATCAATTCATTGCCGGTTAAGGAAGTGGCTAACTTTAAATACCCTGGATCCACTCTAATCCCAAATGGTCGGGCAAAGGGTGAAAGGATAAAAAAGGGGATAACGGGAGTTAGAGACTTGATTTTACTATATGGCTGCCAAACATGGCCAATGAGAGTGGAAGATATTAAGAAGTTATTTGCTTTTGACCACTCATGTCTAAGGTACATATGGATTCTTCGAGCGGATAAAATCGCGTACGATTGTATCCATCTTCGCTCAAATATCACCTGTAATAATATTACAACAGTCGCTTTTGCTGGTTAAGGCATGTTCTCCGTCCACCACAAGTGTTGTCGCATATTTTGCTATTTGCAGAACTCTTTTGGTTGGCGAGAAGGGCCTGTTAAGACCTGGACTGATGCAGTCAGGAAAGATTTGAACATATGGAGGGACCAGGTATATGTGGAATTAGAAGGTGAAAAAAGGAATGGCTTCTATTACTATCTTACCTTTATAGCCAGCGGAACCAACCTAATAGTGAAAAGTGAGTGTTAGAAGAAGAAACGAATCAGTGGCTTATGGTCTCATGTACTCCATCAATTTCGATCTTTTTTTTTTCGATATATTTATTTAAATTTGGAAAAAAAAAGAGAATCGATTACAACAATAAGATTAATAATAACAATAAAAATTAGCGGTTGCCAAATGTTTTTTCCGTGTTTCCCCTTAAATGCCATAAAAATTTGGTGGATCACCAAAATTTTTTAATTTTAAAATTTTAAAATAGCCATTAAACTTTTTCACCTAAGAATTTTCAATAATATAAATATAATAATATAAATATAATAAAACGCATAAAATTTTTATATAATATTTTTCATTATCATTCTTATCATTAAAAGATGTTTGAATAATATAAGACTATATAATACAAATTGGGCTCTCGTGAATTTTCTAAAAATTATCATAGATCTAAAAGGACTCATAGAAGCCAGTTTAACGACTACTGGTTCAAATTTATAAACATGAAAAATAATTTTAAGAATAATTTTTCTAATTTTTGCTTGACCTTCTTCGTCTAATAGCTCGCATCATTGCTGCTTGGATTGGCTCTATTAGAGACGAATAGGGTAAAATATTTTTAAATTTCCATTTTTTTCATAATCGTTTATAAATTTTATAAAAAATGAAAATGAAATTGGTAGAAGTTGGCTAAATGATTTTCTCCGTTCGATTTATTTATTTAAAGTAACTGATAAAAGATAATTAAAATCAGAAAAATAGAAAAAAAATTTGATGTGAATGTACAAAGAAGACTGATAAAAAATGATTATAATTATCATGGACTATTAAGAATGATTATGATTATACTTTTTTATAAGTTATAATTGAAATCGTTTAGTATAATATTTTAGCACTATTTCAACATATGAAATAAGCTAAATGATAATAGATAAGCTTATAGGTAATAAATAAGGAACCATTAACATTCGTTTGTTGATAATATATTCTCCAAGCTTAAGTTTATTCAAACATAAAGATTTCAGGTAAACCAATTTTTCGGCTTCTATTTCAATAAAATTTCTATTTCATTTGTCTTATAAAATCTAAAAATGAATTAAATATTGGCATGAAAATTGCTTGAAAAGCTAAAACGTGAATATCAAGTTATTATTACACTAAACAATCAGATACCATCAATAATAGTCTTCATTATCATTCTTATCAATAAATCTCTCAAATTCTTCGAATTTTGCGAAACCAGCCGCATATTCTTTTCTCAGTTGCAGTAATATTCTTTTCATGTTCTGATATAAGCGCTTTATCAACACGTTTGTGAGAAACTTATATAATGCCATAATGCTTAGTAGAGCCTTGTCTTCTTTGTGCAATACGTTGAAGATCATTGACAAGACGATCAACTTCACGTGGATCAACGCGATGTCCGTGATCGGAACGAGTAATTGATCGGATAGATCGAGTTGATCTAGTCTATAATGAAGTATTTCTCGAGTTTTTTTAAAAAAAAATTTTGCCATAATATAATGTGATTGAAGATTTTAAAATTAGTTAAAATTATGTTAAAAAATTAAATTAAAATTAAATTAAAAAAATTAAAATTAAAAACAGATAAAGTAAAGTAAGTAAAATTAAATAGGATCAACAGAATCTCAAATCTAAATTCACTATTTTCAAGGGATTTAGAAAAAATCCTGAATATTTGGCATCTCGTAATATGGGGATAGGATGGCTCAGTAGGTTGCTGCTCATTTCTGAGTGCCGATGTTGAGGTTCTATTCCCCACAAGAGAAAATCTGTCCAAAAATCCGAGTGATGCTGACTACTCACCTGTACTTCTATCGCCAAGGACTTCCCGGCATATTTATCTAGTGCAACAAGCCAAGGGAGTGAGTTTAACCAGTATTGGTGAGGGCTTTTAAAAAAAAATCTCTTGATATAGCATGCCATTCGGTTATCTTATCCCATTGCTATACTGTGCAGCATATTTCTTTATATTTATACAAGTATGATAAAGAGGAAAAAAAAAGAAGTAAAGAAATATCCTTTACTTATACTTAGTTAAGAATATTTAAAAAGATGGAACTATCACCAGAGATTTCAATAAGATTTTGTTCTACGAATAAAAATTAAGAAGATAAGATGAAATGAGGTAATTTTAATGGAAATCTTCCGAAAATTTCTTTGATCAAAAATTTTCACATTTTGCTTTGATCCACTAACTATTGGATATTTCGAAAATTTTATAACTCTCAATTTCTTATGGAATATATAAACAAACCCGTTGAACTGGATTATGATCAGATGCTGATCGAGCCTTGATCTTAACATCAAGATAAGATCGCTCGCCAACAATCCAGTCATGTTTAAGAGCTTCCATTGCGCTCAGCCTCATCTCAGGATTAGTCTCAAGAAGACTATCGACGAATCGTTTAGCAAGTTCCGATCCAGACCAATACTCAAAAAGAAATCTATTTTTAAGAAATTTATTGAAAAAAAAAAATCTTTACGAATTGTATGGATTATGGACGAAAAATTCAGTCCAATATTTTATGGAATTCTAAAATTTTAAAAAATTTTTTTAAATTAATATTTATTAAAAATATGATAAAATATGATAAAATTTCATATGATAAAATTATTTATCACTTGTTGATAGTAAACATAATTGGCGGTAATGATATGTGTGTAGAGTCGAGATCTGCAATCGTCATCGAATGGCATTATGCCTGACATCAAAATATATGTGATGACTCCAACCGCCCACATATCCACTTTCTCTGTATAAGATACCCGTAGCAAGACCTAAATTTAAAATAGAATGTGATTAATTAATTGATTTTTAGATTATATGGGGAATCATTTATTTTAGTAGAGTTTTTATAGTTTCTATTCTATTTCATTTGGAGATAGAATGGTTCAGTAGTTGTTGCTAAATTCGGAGCACCGATGCTAAGGTTCTATTCCCCGCAGGAGTAAACACCTGCACAAAAAATCCGAGTGATGCTGGCGATTCATCTGTATTTGTATCGCCAAGGGACTTCCTGGCATATCGCCCAATGCGGAAAGTCAGTGGAGCGAGCTTAACCACTAATGGCAAGGACTTTTAACCTTAACCATTCTATTCCATTTAGAATGAGCTTGAAAATAAAGGATCAATGCCTAAAGTCTACAGCATTTTTGGTGATTTTTTTATGGTTCATTTGGTAAAATCAAACCTCAGGTGCGATATACTCAGGTGTTCCGCATGTTTCCATCATTTTTTCGTTATCATCTTTCTTTTGATGAGCAAGGCCAAAGTCGGTGATTAAAAGACGAGCCTCTGGCCTCCTATCACTATAGAGCAAATTTTCAGGTTTTAAATCGCGATGCGTAACCCGTAACCCATGCAAATAAACAAGGCCTTTTAAAAGCATTCGTAATGCTTGACGAGCTTCTAATTCTGTATAGCGTCCTCTTGCCACTACTCGTTCATACATTTCACCACCATAAGCGATTTCCATAACAATAAAAAGGCGAGAAGAAGATTTGAAAACCTTAAATAAATATTCTATTAGCGATAATTCTTTAGATAAGATGATAATTAATCGACAATTTTGAATAACCTTGCATCGCAATTTATGCATTAAAAATTACTTAATGGAAAATTCAAAAATTTTGAAAGAGAGAGTGGGTTTTGAAACCATACAAATCGACATTTTCAGAACGAATAAGTAAAAATCTATTGAGATTTTGGCTTGAAAAAATATTGAGGAATTTGAGTTATCTAATGAGAACTGTAAAATTTAGAGAGAATTGTAGTTTTAAAGATTGAAATTGAATTTTTTCAACCCCTTTGCGAGAGAATGGCTCAGTGCATTGCAGTTCCAATTTTGGAGCGTTAATATAAGAGTTCCATTCGTGGTGACTTTTTAAAATATCAAAAAAAATTCGAATGGTACTGCTAACTTATTTGTTGTATTTCTTATCACAAAGTGGTTTCTTGGTAAATTTTGTTGAAGACCCTAACAATTCAATGGAACAAATATAATTGTGAAATAGTGAACAAAAAAAATTTAAAGGTTCTAAATAGTGATCCAATTTCTCTTAGAAGATCAATCGCAATCTTTCTTTCTTTTTTTCATTCATTTTAGTTTTTTTTTCCTCTTTATGGATCACTAACGAGAGATTTATGAATTTTATCCGAGAAATCCGAGTAACGACGGACAAATACCAAATTTTTCTCTACAAAAATTGCCTTTCTTTTTTCCCTTCCTCGTTCCTTTCGTCTATTCATATGAAGGAATATTGTATTGGCTTCCTTTGAATTATCCTTATTCTCAATGAAAAACGCTTCAAAAGTTGTTAAATTTTTGACATTCGCTTATGCTTACGCTTATGCCAATCGTTAAACTGATCGTTATTACACATCGTTTCTGACAATGAACGTCAAATTTTCAATAATTTCCGGATGAATTTTATTCTATAAAACGCAAAAATTCATAATAACGATTGATGATGATAATTTTTAGTCGAAATCAAAATGGCAGATAATTCTTTAAATAAATATTGATTGCGATTTTAAAAAAATCAAATTTTTTAATAATTAATAAATAACCAATTTTTGTGAAAATTATTGAAAAAATAAAAATATTAATGAATATTATCATTCTAAAAAAAATTGAAATTCATAAATTTTTAAATTTTTAAAATTTTTAAATTGCAATTTTTTCATTTTTTTTACATTTTTATCAATTTTATCATTTATTATCATTTTTATCGAAGAGCATTTGAGGATAGAAAGAGATCAAATGAGTTGATTAGTCTCATCTTGAAACGCCAATAAAGTAAACAAAAAAATGAAGAATCAATCTGCTTTTCAAAAATCGGAATGCTTCTACCAGTATTTCTAATACGTCAAGTGGTCCCACTGGCAAAATATGTTCCAATAAGTCAAATCATTAATCAGTAATGATAAGAATTCCTCTACTCCAAGCGATTGAAAAAATTTGTTGATTTTTAAAAATTCCATATAAAAAAATTAATCGTAATCTTTATTAGCAAATCTGGTGGTGATAGAAAATTCACTTCCTACACCAGTGGTGTTGGTTAAAAACACAAATGGTGAATGGTAACTACTATTTAATCAATTAATTTATTCTTCCCAAAATATATTAAATTTTTAAATAATATTTTTTTTTTTTTTGTTTAATCCATTGAATTTGAATTCAACAATATTTACCTCTTCAAGTTTAATAACATATGGATGTGAAACTCGACTGAGAATCGATAATTCATTATTAACTGTACCGCAATCGGATGAAACAAGTTTGACAGCGAAAAATTGGTTCGTGACACGATGTTTAACACGAAGTACTTGAGAGAACGATCCTTTTCCAATCACTGATATTATTTCATATTTGCAAACAAGACGCGAATCAAGTTTAAGCACAGGCCGATCACGTAAATCTTCATCCATTTCATCGTTTATCTAATAATTATCTAATAATTATTACGACAAAAAAATATTTATAAAATTAAAATAAAAATAAAAATTGAATAATTTTATTGAAAATTCATAAATATACTATATTTTTTTAAAATATAAAACTATATAATATATAAATATATATAAAATAAATATAAAATATATTATTTAAAAAAATTTAAAAAATAAAATCAAAAAATTGCAGATCAATTTTTAAAAAAATAAAAGATTTCTTATATTTCTCTTAAAAATAAGAACAAAATAATCGGATTATTATATATATTTATTATTTTTTATATAATATTTATATAATATTTTATATAATATATGCATATATTTTTAAGATTTTTTAATAAAATGCTATAATATTTATGAGAAATACGCAGAAATATTCCTTCTTCTTTTGCAGGCAGCGAAGTTAGTGTAATCAGCAAATGAAGAAGAAGAACGATATTTACAAAATATTTATATTTACAAAATGACAATAATAATTTAATGATTTAAATAATATTCGTTGATAAGTTTTCTCTCTATTAAGTAATTAAAAAATTTAATTATTAAAATTGATATTATTATTTATCGAAATTAAATTAGATAAATTTAAAAAAATGAAGGAATAATTTAAAAATTTGTTTTGAACAAATTTACAGAATTATCTCATTAACAAATAATTTAACTTTATTGAATCAATTAATTTTTATTTATTTTTTATTTCATTGGATTTAATTTCGATTTCTAAAAATGCTAAGTGCAATAGTATTATTTGTCATTTTATTAGATTTTTATTGACAATAAATTAGTTCGACGTGTAGTTCGAGCTTCGGCTAATTACAGTTGCAACTAATTGTATTGTATTATTATCATTATTGTGGTACTATTGGATTATTTCTGGTAGATAAAAGAGCATAGTTTGTTTTTACCTTTATTTATATTTCTTGTTTAGTGATTTGGCTTTAAAGTATACAAATTTAAGAAATCCAGAAAAGAATAATGACAATGCAAAAGTGGAAAACGTCAGTGCATAATTAGCTGCCGAGAACTAATTTGACCAATAAGAATAATTTAGAATAAAGAAAATTAACTTTATTATTTTTATGAAAAAAGTAAGATGACTAATATTTGTCGTCGTTCTTATTGTCTAAGTTGAATATTTCATGAAATTTCTTTTGTTCATTTTTTACATAAAATTGACTCTAATTTAATTGAGCGATTGATAGATGAATAAATGAATGAATGAAAATTAATTTTATTATTTTTATTTATATATGAAAATATTTTTCATATAATTAAAATGAAATAAATTCAATGGAAAGAAAAAGAAAGAATTTTATGATATTAATGGAAAATTACAAAAGAATATTTTTAAGAAAATGGTACGAAAATAAACAATCGAAAATTTATTCTGCTTGGAACTTATGCAGTCAATCTATACATATAAAATTCAAATATATTTTTAGAGTACATTTCAATATAGGTTAATAGATCGGAAAATTGCGAAAAAAAATGAAAAATAAAAAGAATATGAAAAATTTTTTAAAAAAAAATTTAATCAACTTATATTTATTAAAAAATTGATGAATAAAATTATTTTCTATAATTTTTTTATTTTCCATCGATAAATGAAAATAATTGGAAAAAATTGAAAATTTATTTAATAAAAAACAAAAATGGAAAAATAGAAAATTAATTTTGCAAAATGAAATAATTTCATTGATCCATTTTCCCCCTTTGAATTCTTTTTTTATTTTTTATATTGAAAATAATTAATTTATTAATGATTTCAAATAGTTCAATGACCTAAAATCTAAAAATCTATAAGTCAAATATTAGTATATTAGAATTGAAAAAAATCAAAATGCATTCAGAAAAATCCAAAAGAGATAAAAAAAAATGCCAGATTTTTAACAAATTAAACTTTAAAGGTACCATTACCATTTTTATACCGAATATACCATACTAACTCCAAATTTTAAATGTACTCTCTGAATTTTTTTTTTTTATTTTACTGGTTGGACTCGCTCCGCTGGCTTATCGTACGAGACTAATAAGTCAGGGAGCCTTGTCTCTTGGCGAGAGAAATAGCATCATTCACCAGAGTAGCCAGCATTTTTTGGACAGGTTTACTTCTGTCGAGAGTAGAACCTCAATATAGGCGCTGCGAATTAATTAAGAACTCACTGAGCCATTCTACTCCCTGAATTATCAATTATCAAATAGTAAAAAAAATCAACAAAAAAACAATTACTTTTAGTGTATGGAGGAGAGTACTCGGTTGTGTAGTACATGTTGAGTCGTTGTTAAATCTCGATTTATTGAATAAATTGCAAATAAAATTGGATTTAGGAATCGTCTTAAACGAAGCGATTCTCTTCGGTACTTTTGAACTTTGTTTATTACCCATTGTGCTTATCATAAATCAGTTTGAAAGAAGAGAATGAGAGGTGAAATTGAGGGAAAAAGGAAAAAGGAGTGGATTTGCCTTGAGGCAAGAAAATGGAATTGTTACCGTTATCAATTATTTAAGTTGTGATTGAGCAAAACTGAAATATAACCGATGCTAAAATATTTAAAAGAAATAAGAACATAGAGGAAGACGTATAACGCGAACCTGATCGTTGGGCTAACTGAGAAGAGACCATTTTGGCAATTCACAATAAACCGGTTTCCCCCCATCAAGCCGGTAGCATTTCGAATGTCTGGAATCATAACATATTTTAATTTGCTAAATAATATTCTCTTCAATAAACAATATATATATATATATATATATATATTGGAAAGATAAATAAATAATAATTTTATTAGTTCCACTTATCAGTTGTAGATTAGGCAATATGATAATTTTCTAAAGAACATAGATTTAATCTAGAAATTTAAAGATAAGAGAAAAAAAATAAGAGAAAAATTTTCCCACCTTTTCTACTTCGTCATTCACTAATGATAATGATAAAAAGCAATGACAAAAGTTGGCCAGTTTTTAAATCGACAGCCACATATATACGCACAAACCAGCTGTATGTTGAACCAACCAAAAGCACCTTAATGATGACAGTTGCTCGATAATCACTAAACGTAAATCGTATCAATTTTCGGCTATTGTTCATACCTGATTGATTACATTTTAACGCTATTTTTATTGCCTAATCATCATAAAATTTTACTTTTGACATTTATCACTAAGTACATCTTTAAAAAAAAAACTTTATTAGACCACAAAAAATTTAGCATTTTAAATTTATACAAAATGCAATAGCGATTCAAACGAATGTATCGTAGAAGTGAATGAAACACGATTTACGCGATTTACATAATGAATGCAGAGTTTGCATAAATTCACGATATGTATGAAGAATTCAGGGCTCGCATGAATTCGCGATTTACGCGATGTGCACGATAAATGCAAAATTTGCGAGAGGGTACGATTTGCGCGAATGCAAGACGAAAATATAGGAAAATTCTATTCTTCTATCGCGTTTCATTTAAAATTTTGCATACAATATGAAATTTATTTATTTCTTTCTTCATCAACCGATATATTTTTAATTATTTCATCCAATTTGCGAGAAATCGCAAAAAAAAAAAAAAAATTTGTAATTTCTGATGAAAAGATAAATGCGACAAATTAGAAAAAAATAAATAAATAAATAATAAAAATTTTAGTTATCGTAATTTCTAATGTTCGAATTTTATAAATACTCCTACAATCCTTTTAATATTCATTGATTTGCCCTTTAACCTTTTCCTTAATACTATAACTTCAGGCAAATTTTTTGTGTAAAAAAAATTTTATTCAAGAAGAAATTTTATCATAAAACAAAATTTTTTATTCTCGAGAATTATTATCAACGAGTTTGCGAACTTTTTTCATCATTTTTCTTCCACTGTTATCAGTTTATCAATCCGAAACGATCAAGCGATCAGTAAACTAATCAAAAATACTTCTCACTTAACTATTAATGTTTTTTATTTCGCTAGATAAATTCTCTTATCAATTATTTTTATTTATTTGAAGAAAAATGAAGAAAAATTATTATTATTGTTCATAGATTCATTGTTCATAGATTGTTGCTCATAGTTAATAAAAAAGTTAAGTGCAATAGGTTTAAAAAAAAATAAAATTTAGGCGATAAATATTCGATCATAATGTTTGACTTTGGCTGATAGCATCAATAGATTTTTATTACATAACAAAAATATCACCTTTCTAAAAATTATTAAAATTTATTAAAATTTACAATTTATTATGAATACGTTTGTGTGGATTGTCTAAATAGTTCTAGGAAATCTTCATATCTACTGATAACAAAATGATATGATGATAATGAATTTATGTGATATATCGTTGACAATTAGATATGTTAGCGCAATTAAAGCTGAAATCCCCTAAATTATAACCAAATAGATTTAAAATGCACTGAGCAAATATTACTACTGAAACATGGGAGATTTTTTTATCATCTTCAGATTCAAGGTGAGGCAACTATAAAAGTTGTTTATTCTATCTCAAGTCATTCATCATATTACCAAATTCGCATTGAATTCTAGTATTTATCTTTATTCACATGGTTGATGGGATTATTTACACCGTGTAATCACCATATATACCCTCATTTCCTCTAACAGCTCACCATTACTGATTAGATTGGCTCGGCTGGATACAAGTGTTTCCAAACTGTTCGATCAGATACCAACGCTGCCATAAAGTTGACAAGTTGACAAGTTTAAAGTTATTTTTCAGACAAGGTTATTATATTAATCACAACTCGTAACATAGGCAGTTTAATTTAGGTTCAGTGCGTTAGAAGAAATGAATAGGATCTAATTCTCTTACATATAAAAATCTTATTTGGTCTTCACATGTCATGAAATTATGCATGGAAATATACTCAAAAGCTCCATAATCACTGGAACCTAGGGATCTTGAGCCGTCAATTAGACGTACCTGAGTGGTTTTTATCTAAGGCAAATCAATGAACACCTTTGCCTTACATCATCATTCACTGGATTTCATTCTCATGAATATTTCCATCTGTTAATAAATATTATCCACGACGTTGTGAATAAATTTAACGCTGAAAGCCACACTAGTATGATTAGCTATAAATTTGGCAGTTCCAGTTCAAATTCAAATGCACCAAAATCCAGTGGATCGAAATTATTGAAACTTTTCAAAATAACTCCGTTGACAAAACGCAATGATTTGTTCTTCATTAATGAAATAAATTAGTGAAAAATCCCAATTAATGATTCGAAATATTTTAGATTCTTTTGATATCATCGTTAGCACATCACATTGCAGGTGTTTTTTTAAAAGAATTTCTTATTATTCATTTAATAGCTTATAGCTTACATTATATTGCTTGGTTCCTTGGTGTAAATTTTAAAAAATAAATAAAAAATAACTGCAAATAAGCTTTCCGACATCTTTTCTTTACAATTAATAATCGCAAATTATTACATATATTATAACATAGAATGCATTAGTTTTTTTTCCCTCCCTCCTCCCCCCCCCCTCCCCCGATTTTCTCGTTCCATTCTTTTAAATACCTTTTAAAAATTTTTTTTTCAACTCGAATTTTTATGAAATTATTATATCTAATAGTAGGGAAATTTTTCTATTATCAATATCGTAAAAAATGAAGCGATGAGGAATCGTAAAATATCGCCTGAGAACCTGAGAAAATCAAGAGGTACCAAGAACCTTCAAATTTTCCCCGGCTTTCTTATCATTTAAACGATTTCAAAGTGCATTCTTCACTAAATTCTATGATAGATTTTTATATCCCATTTTTAAATTACTTAATCATTTTTATTTTCTTGCACTTAAGAATAATTTGAATTTGAATTTTCGCAAACTACTTCAAATGTGATGTAAAACACGCTTCGTTCATCAAATTATTTCAAACCGAATAAAATTAGAAAATTTAAATAAAATTAAAAACAAGGATCTTTAATTAATCGTATGGAAAACAAATAAATGTCTTAAATAAAAATGATGAAAAATTTCAGCGAACAATTTATTAATTTATAACAACCAACCGGATTGAATTATAATAATCGATCAAAATTAAGGTTTTTAATTTGGAATTTTTAAAAGGAAAATTATTTTATTGAAACACTTTTTATGTTACTTATAAATTATAATTCTCTGAATTATATAAATAATATAAATAGAAAAGTAAAGTAAGTAAATGCAAAGTAAAAGTAACACAGTGGAATGGTTTCTACAATTAGTCTTAAGTTATTGTTATTTATTTCTGAACAATCCATTTAAACAGCTATTTTTCCAACTTGGTGATATATGTAAATAAATAAATAAATCATTTCGGAAAATTTATCCTACTTTTCGCCATGGTTTTTAAGATAAAAAATAAGGGAATAATAATCAATAAGTTAAATAATATTACTGCGGAATCACTTCATGGTCCCAATATCATCAATAAACGTCAAATGTTCAATGTTCGCTAAATCCATCAAAAAACGTTGAAATTTCCCAAAGAATTTTCACCTGCAACAGAGAAAAGAATGAATGACAAGAAGAAAATATTTTAAACAAATGTCATGAGAATCTGATATATTAATTATCTGAAGAGATGAAAATTTATCACTTAAAATATTAATTACAATTGATTTTAGAAAATTAGAATTTAAAGTTGAGCATGAAAATTTATCGAAATATTAGAAAAATAAATGCAAAAGGAAACACACCATGGACGCAAATTTGATTTATCACTCAAATGAGAATCATCGCTGCTTAATTCTTTTAAAAATTTTCCATCTTTGGTTTGTACAAATTTTGAAACAGTCGCCTGTCCAACATATTTCCATTTACCAGAAAATATTTCATGAATTGCACCAATAGGTGCTCCATGTGAAACTAATAACATATTGCTTCCTTAAAAAAAAATATTCCTAAGTATTTCTGAAGAGGTATGAAGCAAACGTAAATTATTTCGAAATTAAATAATTTCACTCATATTTTCCAGAAAAAACGATTATATACAAAATTAAAACCTGGAAATTTTTCTATTAAACCATTTAACGTTTCACGTACTCGTTTAGTACAAGCATCGTCACCATATCCTTCAGATGGAAGTTTCCAAGGCATCACAGACTTATAGGTAATATCGACTAATGGATATTTTTTCGATATTGTTTCTAACGATTCGTATCCAGGAGGATCGTTACATAAATATAATGCCTGAAATAACAAAACAAAAATAAGCATAATACAAAATAAGCAAAATAAGCAAAAAATTTTTCTTACCTTATGACTGGTCATCCTCAACCTCTGGTCCTCTGCCAGAGGCCTGGAAGATTGAGATTTCTTCGTCTGGAATCTACTGAAGCTACTTCTCTAGTTTTAAGAATCATAATTTCAAGTACATTAATTATCTCTTAAATTATTTGGGCCTTCATTTTCCACATCTTTTTGCATTTCAATTCCTCTTTTATCTCCTGCATTTATCTAATTTCTCATATTCCTTCTTTCTAAAGTCCCTATCACTTGATATTGATATATCTAACACTAGTGCTGATTTTCGATTCTTGTTTACTATCGCAATATCAGGTTGATTGGCCAACAATTTGTCTGTCTGGTTGAAGAGGTCCCACAGAATATTATTATTATTCTCGGCCTTATTATTCTCCACGATTTTCCAAGGAATTTTCCATTTAGTCTTGAGAGGATCTAAGCCATTTACCAAGCAAATATTCTTATAGATAATGCCAGCTATTTAGTTATGCCTTTCAATTCATGTTGTTCCTTCTTATATTTTACATCCTGCCACTAACTGTTAAATTATTTCTGGGTCGTCTTCTGTCTGTAGATCCCTGCTAAAATGGATCATGTGCTTGATTCCTGCTTTTATGCTGCTATGATCAATATCAATATCTTTTTTCAAATTAGTGTTGCCCTTAGTCCAACTTTTACCATACGCTGCGAGGATATCTCAATGCCAGCTGCCTCGGCTATCTGTTGATGATACAACCTATGCAGACTTGCTTTGCTCCACTGCTTAGTCTTTTTCCAATGTCTTTAGATACTCCAAACTTTCATCCTTTGATGCTACTTTGTTGATTTATTCTTGAATGTTTCAGCTTTCTTTCAGTGGCTTTCACATTCACCAAACTCCAGCATGTTTTCTTTTCAGCTGGTGTACAGTTCTTAGATTCGAAGTAAAAATTTCCGTGCATTATGAGGAGTTTCCGGATCTTCACATCAGCGGCCTCCATGCCTTCCTTTATCTATCTTACTAAGCTAGCTGAATACCTGTGATTAGCAAGGCATATATATTTATGGCATGGATTTCTTTCTTCCCATTGAACTGGCTTTGGTAATAGCTATAAATAAATGCTGCAATCTTCTGTGCCTCTTCATGGTGACTGCCATGTGACTGTGGGATGTCAGGATATTTATAGATAGTCTTATATGTCCTGGTGGCACGTCCATCTCATCAATGATTACTTTGCTCTTCTTTATCCAGGCATATTTCTCTAACGCGAATGATATCCCAATGCCGTTGTTGTAGATCAGTGTTAGATGGATGAACGAGTCAATACCACAGTAGCTCCAGTGGTTGTTGATTGCTAGGAGCCCTATGATCCTAAACTAAAAAGTGGCTTCAACAGAGTCCAGAAACCAATACCAAAGATCTCGGTCCAGAAAAGCGCATCGCTAAAGAACTAAGATCTTTCATGGCACTGAAAAAGTACTCAAGGCTGAGGATGATCCAAAATTTTTTTATATATACACACAAAAGAAGGATAATGTTCTGATAAGTGGACATAATTTAATTCTGCATTACACCTTTAACCCAAGATAGTATCGTGGAAGAAGTGCACAAATTGCAAAGCTGGAAATTCCCTTCTCAATATTTTTCAATATAAAATAATGATAAATATGAAAGAATATTGAGAAAAATGCAAATTTTCATTTTATTTTATTCAAAATACTCGTGAAAACTGAAAACCCTTTCGATATATTAGAATATTTGATCATTTAAGCTTATAATTTCTCAAAGGAAAACTGGACTAATACTTTTAGATGAGCCTTTTGAATAGCACAGATAGTGCTCCAACGACATATGAGTTTAGAAAATAAACGAAGTGCAATCGGCCAAAGCAAAAAGTAAGTAACACTTCCAAGAGAAGAGTAAATAAAACCAAGGAGAAGAGTAGAACTTATGGTGATTCAACTTCTTTGGTGATTTAACAAGGTAATCAACGAAGCAATAGTTAAGAAGTATAGAAGGAATCTAATTAAAAACTAATAAATAAAAAATTATCACTGAAAAGTATCTGGAAAAATAATAAAAAATGATTAAAACGAAAATTCAACAAATAGGAAAAAATCAAGTTTATCACTTAATTTAATATTTTAATATTTTGTCATTTGTTATTTAATTTCTAAAAGTATCAAATATTTTTAAAAAAAAAAAAAACCTCGACGAGACCCGGTTCAACTTTTAATGGAATATTTCTCTCACCAATAATCCGTGTTGCTGTTTCCAGACAACGATCGAAAGGAGAAGCAATCACATGGTCCAATTTAACATTCGCAAATCTTCGTCCTATTTCATTTGCTTGTCCTATAATTTAAAATTTAGCCATTAGACTAACAAATATACAAATATTAAAAAACAAAAAGAATACACGAAAAAAATGAAAAGACAATACATAGATAGTCAAGGAAAAAGAAAAAAAACAGAATTCCTTTGAAATTCCTCAAAATCAGAATGAATTCCTTTGCCCACATAAATAGTAAAGGAAAAAGGAAAAAACAGCAGAATGAATTCCTTCATCCAGAATTATAGTTGCTGAGCCTTTGTTTAGCGTGTAAAATAATCATTAAGCATTATTTTAAAGGGAAAACAACTGATAAAGCGATGTTTATCATATGCGTATATCTTATTTTTATATTCTCCCTTCTTTCCTATTTTCAAATTCTCGTTTACGCTTAGCCTATAACAGCCGAATCGACGCCATAAACCTATAAAATTAAATCGGTATCCTTCAATGTTCTATTTAGTATTTTATCCGCCATTCCTAGTGCTTTTTCGCCTAAAACCAACCAGAAAAACCTTCTCCCTCTTTGGAAAGCTCTCTTTCCGAGATGCGGCAAATGAAGAAAATAAGAAAGAAAAACCTTGTCCACGTCTCGATAACGGTGAATTATCGCTCTTTAATGTCGAATTGTGCCTCCAATTTGAATTTATATTATCTTCGCGCTCCGCGTGACGAACAATCCAAAAAACTGTTTTAGGCATTTCTGTTAAATAATAATTTGAAATTTTATTTTTGTAATATTTAATTAATAAAAAATTAAATATTATAAAAAAAAAGAAAAACGAATAAAATAAAAAACATTTAATTTGAAAAAAAAAATTTAAAAACAAATAAATATTTATTTATGGGGAAATTTGAAAAAAGAAAACATCGATTCAAACCTTTATTTAGTGAAATTTTTGAATAATTTTTACGTAAATCAAATAATGATAAAAATAATAATAATAAGAAAATATAAGCTGCAAAGATTGAAAACAATAGTTTTAATAATTTTAACATTCGCATTTCATTTGCATTTTAATAAAAAATGATAAAGAATGTCTAAAAAAAATATATCATTATTATTAAAATATATATTATTACCATTATTATTAAAATTGTTACTAAAAATTATAAAATTTCAGTGTCACGTTATCGTTATCACTAAATTATCATGGATTATCATTAAATCTAAAGCGAAATTAATGAAAATAACGTTAGCGTTAAGACTCTGGGAAACTAAAGAATACTTTCCTTTTTATGTAAAATCTCACTCCATCTTACATAATCTTGAAAGGATGGATATTAAAAGGAAGGAATGCTTATATGCATTCATTCTTTTTTTATGGTACTTTTGCTAATTCTAGTAATAAATTTCCATTAATATTAATATGTGTCAACAGAAAATTCGTAGGAATTCCTTAAGGCAGATTCCTTTTAGGAATAAATCGTCGAAATATGCTAAATATTTGTCGAGTGATCATTTATGGCCTTTAAGTAAATTATACGAGTCGGTAAAAATAAAAAATAGCACTTCAACTTGTCGTTTCTTTGAATCAAAATATAATGAATTGGCGCAAACAGGTCGATGAACCGTAGAACAGAAAGGATTTGAGAGCAGAAAAATTTAGCATTGCTTAAGCATAAAGCATTCTGGAATGCTCAATGTTATATGAAGAAATAATAACTAATTTTCACAATTGTTTTCATAAAAAATGATAAATGATAAAAAGATAGATGATAAGTGAAAGATTTGGCATTAATAAAACATAAGGAATTAGTTAAGGAATTAGAGATAAGAAGTTAAAAAATTATATAAAGCACCAATAATTTTCCCAACAATTTTATAATGATAAAAAAATGATAAGTGATAAAAAAAATATGATAAATTTCCATACATTAAAATTGCGAAAGAAATATCAGATCAATCGTTCTGCACAACATTTAAGTATAAGTCTAAATAAAGTTCCTATCGTTCTTTACTTTTATCGGTTCTACTGAGATTCGATTTAACGACTGAATAGCAATTTCGCTAGATCAGTTTGCTCCAAATCAGGCAATTCGGGGTAATTCTATTATTCCTGGGGAACTTCCAGTTTGTTCAATTTCTTAGCAACTGTTACATGAATTATGCATTCTCCTCAGCAGAAGATTATCACTAAGGCCAGCTGGACTGATCGGCTAATAACCAATCCAGTTCTCTTTTCATTAGAAATTGTGGTGGATAGAATTGGTTAGGTGAAATTCCTTTATTCTAATTCCTGTATTAGCTGGATTTTTACTTTTCGATTTGCATTCCAGCAATTCTGAGCGGTTCCCTCGTGGTACTTGAAATTCATTTAAAGGATAGAAGAGAATTTCTTGTGAGTTATAAATTTTTTTTCCTGTATTATAAAATGAGATTGTTATTCGATCCATTATTTTTATTCGTGATCCATGATGGATATCCGATTTCTTCTTTCCGCTTTTTTAATTGCTGAAATTCTTTATAAACGATGCGTTTTTTTCAGATTTGCTATTATTCTTGCCCTTTTTTTTCCCAGGTAAATCCTTCCAGTAAATCCTTCAAAAAATTTTTAAGGCCTGTAATGCAGAATCGCAGAAATTTGATTGTCTATTGTCGCTTGAAAATTAGCTTCAAATTACATACATTCTCTTGACTTGCCATTGTTTTACTTATTTAAGTATAAACCAAGTAGGTAAGTGATTAACTAAAGTTAGAGCTAATAAATGAGGTCAAAATGAGGTTAAATTCAGAGCTATTAGCAAATAGAACAGAATAAAAAAAAAAACGAAAGAAAAAGGGAAAATATCAAAAAAGATTTTATTAATATCGGACCGAGGAAACAAATTCTTTTTTTTTATAATATGACCTTTCGATGACCTTGCTCATGATGATCATGAATTTTTAGCTAAAACTGGAGACAAAAGGGGATAATATCGTGCGATAATTTATTCCAACAGGATTGAAATTTTATAGGATAGAACTTTACTCATAAATGCACTAGTTGGAGAGCTGTTGAAGCTGTTGAAAACACCCTCAACAACCCAGCAGCCAATTTCATAATGGCCAAACAATTAATAAAGATGAAATTCTAGATCGAACAGATACACCTATGAATGCTTTCTAACTATACTTCAGTAGAATATGCAACGATTTGGTTATACGATGGTGCCGATGGTGATCAAAAATAGCCATTAAAAATGACCACAAAGCCATATCAGGAAGTAAACTATTGTCACCTTCGCACGAACACCATCGGCACCATTCGAGCTATCTTCATTAGAGCTTTTCTCCATACCTATTCCATTTATTAAATTTTTATTAATTTTATTATAAATTTTATAAATTTATTAAAAATTTAAATTGAAAATTAAAACTGGCAAATTTCCAAAACATTTCGCATTGAATTATGTAAAAATAGCAAAAAAAAATTTATAAAAGTAAAAAAAATTAAAAATAAATAAAATTAAATAAAACTGAAAAAAATTGATAAAAAATTAATGAAAAAAATTAATTAGTTATAGTTTTAAATATTTTAATACATTTTTTATGAGAAAAATATATTTTCCAAGCCAAAAAAATTAGTGATAATACTATTAATGATAAAATTCACAGAAATAATTTATGAAAAAATAGAAAATTATAAATAGAAAATAGAAATTATTTTAGAAAACTTATAGTATTACAAAAATAAAATATTGTGGAAGAAGCGTAACACTTCGATGGAAAAAATTTTTATCCCAAAACCCACAACCTATAACCCACAACCCGCAACCTGAAAACCCGAAGAGATATTTCCAAATGCATTCAGCGACCACTGCTATGATCAAATCGGATAAGTAAAAATGTTGAACTGATTCGTATTCACAGAGGCTGTATTATAGTAGCACTAATATTCAGCCGATAAGAATCCAGTATGAGATATTTGCTTGTTATTTAATCGTATTTTAAGATTCGTAATGACTATTTCCGGTAATTGCAAAAATATGTCTGATATTTGTGAAACGGTGACAAAAATTCCAAAAGGTTTCTTTTTTTTACAATATTTTAAAAAGTTTTCAATTATTACTCAGTTAATAAGTAAATAATACGGGTCCACAGGTGACTTCTTTCACTACTTCTCATATTTCGCCTTAATTTCTCATCAGAAGATTATATATTTTTGACATGGGTCCACAGGACTCCTTTCAATAATTCTTATATTTTGCTTTGTTTCCTCACTAGAAGGTTATATATTTTTGACGCTGGTCCTCATTTTTTTATTACTTTTTTTTCTTTCTTTTATTATTATTTTTATTTTTATTAATTTTTATTTTTTTTAAGTCAAGTAATATTTTAATTTAACTTTAATATCTTTATTTAAATTAAGTAATAAATTAATATTATAATAAATTTATCCATAAAATATTATGGGAATCGTCAAAATATTAATAATAATTGTTGAAATTAATTTATAATTAATAGTATTTTAATAGTAAATTATTTACATTTAATAAAATATTTGTAATAATTGATAAAAAGTTTCGAAAAAAGAGTTTTATTATGAAAAATATTTTTGAATTTGAAATTTACCTCGATTAGTGAAAATTTAAAATTTAATTTAAGTAATTTAAGTAATTTAATTAGATTAAATTAAATTTGGTCCTTCTAGTATTACATTATTATTGCTTTAATTTTGCTTATCTTAAATTTCATTTGCCTAAATTTATTTAATTTATTTTTAAATTGTCTTAAATTTCATTTTTTTTAAAAATAATTTTGATTATTTATTTGCTAATTTTTAAATTTTTATTGATTTTTTTTCATTTTTAATCCAATTTATTATTTATTTTTTAGTTAATTTATTTTTTTAAAAATTAATTTAGCTCATTCGCGCTCAATTGTCGATGTCGAATTTGTTAAAGATCCATTAACTGCAACAGTATATCTCGTTACATGCGCAAATGATTCGATGAAATTTTGGAAAACGTCGTTTGTTTCATTCTTTTTTTATAAAATTTTTTTTTTTTTTTTAAATTTTATGAACGATATTGTTTTCTTTTTTTTTCTTTAAAATATTTTATATGTGGGATTTTAAAAAATTTATTTTGAATATTTATATATATATAAATATATATATTTTTTAAATATATTTTTATATATTTGTATATTATATATATTTGTATATATATATATATATTTTTTTTCAGAAATATCAATGATTGGTCGCAATTTGAATTGCATCAAGAAATAAAAGGATGGCGATGTGGTGTTCAAAGTTTTGATATAACGCATGATGGAAAATGTCTGCTTTTTTTTACATTAGTTATTTTTTCATAGATTTCTACAGCGATTCTTAATATTTTCAGCATTTTTTTTGCAGAAATGCATAGTACCATTGCTATTATAATTTTATTAGCATGCATTGAGATTAGATTATTTAAAGGTTGATATTCTGATTCTTTATTTTGCAAATATTATTGTTTATTGTTCATTTGTTTCAGTTGGTGTTAACTTTTCTTCGTGGTTCATTTTTTTTCACTCTTTTTTATTAATTGTTATATTTCAGTAGCAGTTGTTGTTGGTGTTGAATCTACTTTGCATCAAATAATTACTGATTTAGAGGAAAAAAGAGAAACGGTGGAAAATTTCAATATTGGACTTATGGAAATATGGCATGTATGCATTATACCAAATAAAACTCATTATCTAACTGGTAAGTTTTGATAAATATTTATTATGAACATACTAAAACCATTTTAATTTTTTTGATAAAATTTATAAAATTAAAATTTATTACATTCACCTATTTTTTTTTAAAGATTACTCATCATTACTGATTAAACTCGCTTCACTGGCTTATTGCATCGGGCAATATGTCAGGGAGTCCTTTAGCGATAGAAATACAGGTGATTCGCCAGCAGTACCCGGATTTTTGTGTTGGTTTACTCCTGCGGGGAATCGAACTTCAGCATCTCCCAATTTAACCATTCTATCCCATATAGCATTTTCACCTATCCCCTATATTTTCACCTATAGCATACATGATTGCTTTTTTTTAGTGTTTTGATTTATTTTTTATTTTTAGTTAGTTTTTCTGGATCATTGACTCTTTTGGGCAATAATGGCGAAGTTATTAAGTCAACTCCTTTTAACGGCGTGAGGCAGATATCTGCTATTGTTTGCGTTGGTATTTCTTTATTGTTTTTTTTTTATGTGTATTTAGGCTGGATGGATCAATTTATTGGTTTTTTAGAGTCCCAATGGTGAATTAATCGCAGTTGCCAATAACGAAGGTGTTGTTATCATTATAAATGCTGCTACTTTTGAATCCAAATTTTTTTTTGAAGGTTGCTTCTTATTAATTTGTTTTAATTTATTTCTAAATCGTATTTTTCAATTTATTTTTTATTTCGGAGTATTACAAGTATTTTTTTTACAATTTTCATAATATTCAATAATATCAAGTAGAAAAAAAATGGAAGAGTGGTTTGTTTCTTCTATTGAAATCAAGCATATGAGTTCAATTTTTATTTTTTAGCGAGAACAAATCTGTAAATTTAAAAGTAAATTCTGAATAATGCTGGCGACAATCTGACTAATCGGATATTCCCATGAAACTTTGTTTTTTTTTAGTGAATCATTAATGAGTAAAAATTACAGCTCACGCTGTGAAGGTTCGTGCACTCTGCTTTTCTCCTAATTCTGAAGAAATTCTTACTGGTTCCGACGATAAAATCGTGAAACTGTATGCAGTGTACGTTGTGCTTGATTAATAAGGCTAGGGCTATAACCATTCTCATCAAATTATTGATATCTTTATTGATGTCTTTTTCCATTGTGGGAAATCGTCAATAATTATCACTTACTTCCTATGATGAACTCAAGAAATTTCGCAATTAATTGTATATTATAATTTTAAAAACAATAGAAATATTTTATAAAAAAATTTTTCCTAGCATTATTTCAGAAAAGAGACGAAAGCACAATTTAAAAGGAATTTTTGTGGTCATCGAGATTTAATTATGAGCGTAAAATTTAGTCATGACAGAGATGGACAAATGTTAGTTGGTTAAATTGTTGAAATAACTTTATTCCAAAACAAAATGAGTTTTAATATAAAAGAGGAATAAAAGGTTGAATATTTTTAGAAGACTTTATTTTCTATTTTTCTTATTATTTGAAATTTAGATTCGGTAGTTGTTCTAATGATGGATCAGTGATTTTGTGGAATGTTTCAAATGAACACCCTCTTCATGTATTTCGAGAAATTCATGACGGAATCGTATGATTTTTTGCTCAAGAATTCTTCTGCTTCATTCCATCTAATATTTTATTTTTTAACTTTTAATTTTACAATATTTATAGGCAACTTCATTCGCATTTTCGTTTGACATGCAGTTTTTGATTAGTGTTGGTGAAGATCGTTTAATTTGTGTGCACAGAATTTCAAAGGGGAAAATGGAAGAATATTGCGGTGTTTCATATATACCCGAAAACGTTTGTTTATATTTATTAATATTTTTGTTACTTTTTCTTTAATTGATATATATAGGTGCAGTTGAAATTTTGTTGAAATTATTTGCATAAATGAAAATTATTATTTGCATTGAATCTCAAAAAAGTTCGATATTCTTCATGATCAATATTTTCAGTTACGAAAAATTCATAAAATTCATATGAAAAGTGAAAAACATTAAGCGTTATTTATTAACTGCTCATTTCCTATTGTTTATAAAATTTAAAATTCAACATTCATCCATAAATAAAAATAAATAAGTGTTGACCATTTCTATTTAGGCTTATTGGTTACTAGATGTGGGTCACCTCTGTTCCTTTCCCAGAAACCTGAGACTTTTAGGGATTTTTGGAGACCTCAGTGTTCCAAAGCTAGATTACTGGTCTTCTAGCATTGTTTCACTCTTATCGTCAAATAGTACTGATTTCCCAATATCTCTTAAAACGTACATATAGATAAGTGATAAGCTCCATTTTAATAATAACTTTTATCTTTAAAGTTCTTAGATTTATTTTAGTTTATTTTCTTTTTTAAATTTTATTCTTTCTTGATATTTATTTTTAATTTTCTCGAGTTTCGTTTTTTAGTGTGTAAAGATAAAAAATTATTTTTAAAGGTTTATGGTGAATTCAGTGCTAACACACCAGTTAATTACCAACCTTTATCCTCTCCAGTTTATGATTCTAATGGACAAGATCATTTGAACGGTACAAATAGAAATCAGTACCATCAGAAAGGTGAACTACTTTATTTTAAACAAATTGGCTATAAATATTTTTCATATAATATTTAGAAATATTCATAAATTCAAAATATTTTCAAGAACCTAGCCTCACGAACCGTGAAGAAGAATATGGGGATGATGAATTAATGGCGATAGCAAAAGCAGATGCTGAAGCCGCTGATTTCGAATAATCACTTGCAAGAATAATTGTATGTTGTTCTGTACAGTTTATATGTAATTTAGTAAGCTGGAAAGAAAAAGTAGTTAAATAACAAGTGGTAATTATTTATTTATCCCATATATCTGAAAAAAATGCACAATTTTCTTTGGTCCCAATATTCCTTTTTTTTTACTGAAAGAGTTCACTATTTCTGGTTAGGCTTTTTTTATTGGCTTGTCAGATCAAATTTTGTTAGGGAATTTGGCTATAGGAATAAAGGTGAATCGCCAGCATCACCTGAATTTTTGGTAAATGAGTTTATTCCTGCTGGCAATGGAACTTCTGTATTGGTGCTTCAAAATGAGAGCACCAGCCCATTAAGCTGTTCTATTCCAATGAATTATTTGCATAATAATAATTTGTTTAAAAATTAACCAGTTTTCATTTGAATTTTTTGCATAGTAAAAATGATTCTTTACACTGAATTCTTTGAAGATAATAGTTTAATAATAACTTTGCGAGGAAATAAAAAAAAGTAAAAATTTATAAATGCCAAAAAAATTTTAAAACCTTAATCATTTATCATTATAAAAGAAAGCATTGTTAGTTTCTTTAGTGAGTAGTAAATATTCAACATTTAAAAGCAATGAGGCGTAGAAAGCGGTCTTACTAGGTTCATTTTTTTTAAACGGAATGCGGTAAAGCAAGCGTTAGTTAAAAATGATGAATGTTAGCGATTTTTTCCAGCTATTAAAGGAATCAACGAGAAAATTTTAGAAAGTATGATATGATAAGGTTTGAAAATAATTCTGCTCATTTGATTAGGAGTTTTTTCGAAAAGAATAAAAGTCGTTTTATTTGCTTAAAAATAAGCATATAATTTATTAGGGCGATTGCTTCTAATCATCTTTCAGCATAACTTTTGTTCATTTTTTTTTTTAAAAGTGATCGCGCCAGTCGAGTTGGAGTGGGAACAACACCATCAGTGCATGAGCCTTCATCTCAGGCTGCATATAAAGATAAGTTTCGTAAACGATTCTGCTTATTTTGTTTACGTGACTTGCTACACTAATGATGATGTGCAGTAGAGTTGCCCTTAGAGTTCGACAATTTATTGGAAATCATTTTATTTGTGCCATTGCGATTATTTTAAAAATTCTCTTCCTCATCACTCCTATACCTGTCTTTCCTTTGGTGGAGGTGCCTTTCTTGCAATTTTCTCTGTTCTCTATATTTCTATATTTCTAATTTGCATTAGGTATTTTCTAAATTTTCAAATTTATTCCTAAATATTTCCAGATTAATTTCTCCGATCATTTATTTTTTCCTAATAAATTAACACGTTTTTTTTCGCAGAGTTAAATCGTTATTAAATTGACGATATTTTCAATTTAAATTGGTATTCTGTGAAATTCACCAACGAAAATATCGTTCATTGTAATAGAATGATATGGAACTCTGAATTTCGAGATCTTTTTTTTTTTGTTTTACATTAGAAATAGTGGACTGCGTTTATGAAAATATCCATTTTTTTTATTTTTAATACTTTTTATTAGACTTATTTTAAAATGGATAATTTAATTACAACTAACTGCATTGAAATAAAATTGCTCAGTAGGTTTATTACAAAATTTTCTTTTCATTTCATAATTCCAAATAGTTAAATATTCCATAAATAAATGTAATGCAATTTAGTAAAATTTTTTTAAATATAATAATAATGATAATAATGATAATGACAATGATAATATAACAATAATAATAAAGTATAGCAAATATAATATTAAAGTATAGCAAATTTTATTTTATTTTGCATATTTGATTTTTAGAATGCTTATCAACTTATTATATTATCATTATATATTATCACTATTATTTTAAAATGTTTAAAATGTTTGCGAATCGATTTATTCGAAAAGTTCAAAATATGAAATACAAAACAATGAAATAAATCTTAGATCTGTAAAATCTTTCGAAGCATTTCTATAAAATACAAAAAAAATTTTTTGCATTTTTTAAAAATTAAAAAATTTTTATTAAATTTATTAAAAAATTATTAAAAAATTTAATATAAATTTTATTTAAAAAATAAAATTATTAAAATATGTTAGTTTTATAAGTATTGAGAGAGAATTTCTGAAATTTCTTCTATGTCGAATGTTGTTTCTTTTGGAAATTAAAAAAATTTTAAGAAAATTATATTTTAGCTAATTAGAATTTTTTATTAATGAAAAGTTATAAATAGCAAATAAAGAATGTTTTAATATTTATTAATAAATTTTTAAAAAAAGAAAAACGGAAAAATGGACATTTGAAAGATTTTTAGCTTAAAGTGAAAATTTCTGAAATAGCAAATTCATAATTTTAGCAAATAAAATATTCGTGTTTTTTAGGGAATAGAATAATGCAGTTTGGATAATAATGGATTATTTTTTGATAAGCGAGGATTCTTCGATAAAAGATAAAAAGTTTGTGTTTAAAAGAAAAAAGCAAAATCGTGACGGCAGTTCATCTATTTTCCAGCCAGATGGTCCAGCCCTTGGCAAAAATTTCTGAATTTCTCAACAAGGAAGCGGAAAAAACAGAATATAAATGCTAACTGCTTAGTTATTTTTCTTTGTACATTAGCAAATATTAAATTTGCTAATTTACTGGAATTGCTTTAATACTAAATTTGTTTCATTAAAATTTGTTAATATTATTTGAAGTCGTTAGCCGCTTAATTTGTTTTTAGTTTTTAATTAAACTAGTCGCCGAAGAACCGAACCAATGAAATATTGCCATTTTATAGTGATAATATATCTTAATTTTATCTGTTTAGTACCACTGCCTGCATTGGTACCATTGGTCGCTTAATATCATTATATGGCACTAAGAGAGGAGAGAGGAGAGCTTAGATTATTCTTTGTTCCCAACTTTTTAAAATCGAGCATTTATTGAATAAAATCAGTTGAATTATCGCTTTTTAATGCCGACTTGCGACTTCAATTTGATTATCTAAAAAAATGTTTTAAACATTTCTGAAATAATTTAAATTTGTAATATTTAATTAATAAAAAATTAGATACTGCAAAGAAAAAAACAACCGGAATGAAAAATATTTTATTTGAAAAATAAAATTAAAAAAATTAAAAATGAAAATGAAAAAATGAAAAATTAAATAGATAAATAAATATTTATTTGGGAAACTAAAAAAAAAAACATTGATTCAAACCTTTATTTAGTGAAATTTTTGAGTAAAATATAAGTGATAACGAATGATAATAATACAAACATATGGCTATTAATACAAACATATGGCTATTGCTTTGCTTAATTTTTCTCGACATAAATCAACCTGGCCTAATGTTTTTTCCAATTTCTCATAACTCTTAATGAAAGGGAAAAATCACGTCGTGAAATTCAAAATTCATGAAACGGCGCTCTGAGGCATTTCTTGAGTATCGCCAAGCACCACTGCATATAATTCAATCTACCATAGTTAAAAATTGGAGAGAAGACTGGTGAAACACTGGTACTTCGTATTTTGGAAGATTGTACCAGTTCTTCTATATATATATATATATATATATATATATGCATATGTCTATCCACGTATGCAGATTACGGTGATCATGAGATTCTTACCAGACCTTACGAAAAATATGAAAAATAGTCGAAAAAATAATTGAACGAATTTTCGATTAAAACAAAAAATCACGTAAAAATATTTTTCCTTTATATTTATATTTATGTGTATTTTATTTATTTATAGCGAATAAAATGCAGAAAAATAATTTTAAAAAATCACCTTTTTTCATAAAGGAAATTGAAATTTAGAAAAATTTTTTAAATCTTTAAAACAATTTTTTTTTGTATAATATTTGTAATAAAATTACTAAAATCAAATTGATAGGGCAATGAATGAAATGAGAATAAATGTAAAAGGCCCACAATTTGGAACATTCTGATCCTCCTGCAGGCCTAAATAATTTTGCAAATTATTTTCAGAATAGGGCACCAAGGCTTTTTACTTTCTTTCCTATTGTGTTAACAAAAGGCGAAGGATTATTTACATCGCACGTATGAAACTCTTAAACTTGGGTAATTAAATATCATTTTGGGTAAATTAATTCATTTACCAATGGTAGTATTATAAATAAAAATGAAATTAACCAATAATTGATCATAAAAACGAATTGTTATATATAAAAAATTATATAATTAAAATTAAAACCGAAAAAAAAATCTTTTAATCCAACTCTCAGAACTAAAAAATCCATTTCACCTTTCATGGTTTAAATTTGATGGTGCGCAATGATTTCATGAAAAATTAAAAGGAACAGTTTCAACCTGAAAAAGAAGTAACTAGCAGAAAGGAGTAATCATTTCGAATAATCGTATATGCTTTTGACCTTTGAATATGCTTTTTTAAGAAGACCTCATCATATGACTGATTTTGACTGATTCTTATTTAAAGGCGACATTTTGGTAGATCTCCATTATAAGGTGTGAGTAGCTGTACTTACCCGGGAAAATTTTCTCCCTATTCCTTATTAAATATCGTACTCATATAGAGTTCGATTCTTTATCTTCGGCACATCAGCAAACCTATATTTAGGAAACCCATGTAAATCTGAGATCTCCACTCTTCGAAGCCACCATTGTTCCATCTTCTGGCATTATGATACTTTCACTATGACCGCCGTAAAATTGTACCACGAGGTTTAGAAATAGTGTCGCAGAGAATAAAAATAGTGGAATTTCGAAGGTGATATTAGAAGAAGGAACATTTTTAAGGGAATATAATCAGTTTCGGGGTAAATATCAAGGAATTGTAAGATTTGAAGAAATTTCTGCTTGTTTATATTTTTTCTGCTAAAATTATTATTGGCATTTTTTTTAAAGGCTTTCATAAATTTAATTGCTTGTTTTCAGTTTATTTAAAATTTAACCTATCAAATCAGTTTTATCAATGGCAGTGATGATTAAAGAACCAAAATCTAATAGTATGTTAATTGGATTATTGTTGCTTTTCAGTTTTCAGTTTTTTCGTTTTTTTATTTTTTTATTATTATTTATTTCACCAAAAAAAAAAAATTAATTTATAAATTTTAAAAATTTATTAGAAATTAAAATTTTTTATAGCGGCGTTATTTGAAGTGATAGACGAAAATGATGAAATGCTAATGGAAAGTAGATTATCATTCATTGCAAATATTTTCTCAAATTTTGAAGAGCTTCGTCAAAGTGGAAAATTAGTTGACGTAAAAGTCGGTGCTTCTGGTAAAATGTTGGTTTTTTCCCCTTTTCTCGCAGTATTCTTGTTCATTGCTTGAATTGACTGAGCAGCACTAACTATTAGAATGATGCGAATCATTTGAGATGGGATAGAATTGCTCAGTGGGTCGTTGCTCAGTTTGGAGCGCCGATACTGAGGTTTGATCCCCCGCAGGAGTAAACCTGTCCAAAAATCCGGGTAATGCTGGCGATTCAGCTGTATTTCTATCGCCAAAGGACTCTCTGGCATATTGCCCAGTGCGGCAAGCCAGTGGAGCGAGTTTAACCTGCTTTTAATCAGTAATTGTGGATCATTTGAGAATGATGGAAAGTATTGAAGATTCCTAAGTATCGCTCATTTTTCCATTTCATTTTTTCAATTTTAGAAAAAATTTACTTATTTTCATCAAAGTATAAAAAACTGATTGTCATTATCACTTTTTCCATTTCATTTCCATTTGTAATAATAATGATAATAATAATTTATCAAATTAGATTTTAGATTTTTATTTAGATTTAATGTACATCGAATTGTATTAGCTGCAACAATTCCATATTTTCATTTAATATTTACAAAAAATTCAACTGTAAATCAACAAGACGAAATTCATTTAGAAGGTTTTGAAAAGACAATTTATTTGATTTATGCGAATTGTAGTTTTATTTTTATTAAATATTTAATAGAATTTAAGAGGTGATAAATAACAAAAAAATTATCAATTTTGTGATTCATTTTGTCCTTCATTTTCTAATAATCTCGTATCACCTCTTATTAAATTTATCACATTGATAACGAAAATTATTTATGGATGAAACTCTACGTTCATTTATCAATTATCAGTAACTATCAGTGATTATTATCAATTATTATTATCAATAATTAGTATTTTATTTCTTTGCTTGTTAGAATAAAAAAATTTATTTATTTTTAGAAATCGATGCTGAAACTTTAGATCGAATAATTAATTTTTCTTATACGGGTAAAATACGAATAACTATTGAAAATGTTCAAAAAACGATGATAGCAGCAAATTTCTTACAGCTTCATGATATTCTAAATGCATGTAGCACATTTTTGGCCAATCGTCTAACTACTGAAAATGTGCTGTCGATAAGATCGCTTGCAAACTCAGTAAAATCTAATTTGCTTCTTTTCTCTACAGGTTTCACACCATTTCCAATTTGTATTTCCTTCTGAATATGAACAAAACAGTACTGCAAAATAGCTCAGTGGCTTGTTGCTTAATTAAGAGCACCAAGGCTGAACTCCCTGCAAGTATAAACCTGTGTAAAAATCCCAGTGATGCTGGCGACTCACTTGTATTTCTATTGCCAAGGAAATCCATGGCATATTTGTCAAATGCGATAAGCCTGGGGAATTCATTTGTTGGGAATGGAAATACAAGTGAGTTTATGCAAGAATTTTATTTTTATTGGCAACCTTACTCTTGATAAGGGACACTGCTTATCTGTTAATCGATTCGATCAGTCGAAAAATATTTTACATATAAATATTTGTTTATAAATAAATATTTTACCTAAATATTTGTTTATTTCCATTTTTTAAACGATTTTATGCAAAACATTCTTTATTATTTCTCTTTAGATCGTTTTATCTGCCGAAAATTTCTATTAATTTCGATGTGTAAGGATTATCTTACGTTGAACTTCGATGAAATTTCGACAATTTTATCAAATGATAAATTATTAATTGATAACGAGGAGCAAGTTTTTGAAGCCGCAATGAGATGGCTTTGCCATGATTCAAGTAGAAGCAAATATTCCGCTCAGTTTGTTTTTTTTCTTCTTTTTTTAAACAAATTTTGCGACGAATAATTATTTTTTATCAATTTCTTATAAAATTTTATTAAAAATTTCAAAATTTTATATTTATTTATTTTTAAAATTTTACAAATGGTTCGTTTACCACTTCTGAAACCGGAATATATTGCTGATAAAGTTGTTTCTCATCCGCTTATAAATCGTAATTTCGAATGCCGCGATTTGATTGATGAAGCAAAGGATTATCATTTAATGCCTAAACGACGAAAATTATCTAAAAGCTTTAGGTACAATCTACAATAATAATAAAAAAAATTAATTATTATTTATATTATTACTTATTAATTCGGAGCGTACGCTGAAATTTGCTGAAATTCTATTCCCCGCAAACGGTAAATCTCTCTAGAAATTCGGGTGATGCTAGCGAGTTATTAATACCTTTTATCACCTACGCACCACTTTATCACGGACTCTTTGGCATATTTGTCTAGTGCGATAAGCCAGCGAGGCGAGACGAGACAATAATGGTGAATACTCGTTTAAAAAAATAAAAATAAAAAAACATTTTTAGCGATTTGTAAAATTTCTTTTTTTATTTCACCGTTGATGAATTTAAGAATAAAGCAGCGATATTGTCGAGATGCTGTCAAATTTATTTTCGCCGTCGAATGCCTTAAAAGGCCCTATAATTCACCGTTGACTATCGGAATATTCAATCCAACGAGCGGTGAGTGAGTCTCTTCGAAATATTTCCGAATTTTATAAAATTTTTATTATTTATTATTTATTAATTATTTATTATTTTTTATTATTTATTAATTTTATTTATTTATTATTTATTATATTTATTATTTTACTCGAATTTAAGAAACATGGGAATATCGAAAAGTAATGAATTCAATTGTATCGGAAAGATGTCCTTATTCGCATTTTCGTATTGCTGAAATGAATGGAATTTTTTATATTATTGGAGGCTCTAATAATTTTGGTTTATTAAATACTGTGGCAGCATTTGAACCAAATACTGGCAGATGGAAAGAGGTGAAATTTCCTCTGATGATTTCTAAAGACTTCTAATATGAGCAATTGTCAGCACCTTTTTTTTGTTTAACAGCTCTCACCATTATTGGTTAGACTCGTTCCGCTGGTTTTATCGCACTGGGCAAGTCAGGGAGACGATAGAAATATAGGTGGGTCAAAATCATCCCAATTTTTTTGACAGATTTACTCTTACGGGGAGTAGAAACTGGGCACATCGGCGCCCCGGATTGAGCAATAAGCACACTCAGCCAGTTCTTTCTCCCTAAACAGTAGTTAGAGCGCCGTTATATATATAATAATTGCTTCATTCGAGACTTGAATTTTTTTAGAGCTATTTTTTGATCAATTTTTTTTAAGGTATGTCCCATGATAAATATACGATCGTATGCAAGCGTTGCGGTACTAAATGAACGTTTATATGTTTGTGGAGGTTACAACATGAGATCACTATCATCAGTGGAAGTTTACGATGCGAAAATGAATAGATGGTGGTCAACTGTTCCAATGAATTTACGAAGATCAGAAGCGGGCATCGCTGTTATCGATAACTTCATCTATGGTCATTAAAAAAAACTTTCTATAATTTAGCTTTTTAGCTTTTATAATGGACCATAGAATCTCTCAGTGGACTATTGCTCAATTCAGAGCGCTGATGCTGAGGTTCTATTCCCTGCAGGAGCAAATCTAAAAATCCGAGTAATGCTGGTGACTTATCAGTATCTTTAATCACCAACGAATTCATTAGCATATTTGGCTAATGTGATAAGCCAGCAGAACAAGTCCAATCAGTAATAGTGAGGGCTCTTCGAAAAAATAAAATGTGGCTTATAACATAATTAAATAACAACCAAATTTCGGAAAGTTTTCTATTGTAGTCAATTTTATCAATGATTTTCAGTAATTGGTGGTCGTAATGGTCAGAAAATATTTAACTCAGTAGAACGTTTCGATACTGAAACACAAAAGTGGGAATTTGTTCAACCAATGCAAATGAGGAGGTGTCAATTTGGTGCAGTTGCTTTCGACAATAAAATCTATGTTTGTGGAGGGTTAGTTGAATTAGAAAAAATATTTTTTAAAATGTTTTTATATTATTATTTTATTATTATAACTTTATTATAATATAATATTATTACAATATTTTTTTCAAAAATTTCAAAAGCTTTTATCGTTTAGTTTCAATCGTGGACGAATTCTACAACAAATGGAAGTATACAATCCTGGTATGGACCAGTGGGATTTTTTATCACCGATGTGGAACAAACGATATGATTTCTCTTTAGTGTCTTCTAATGGAAAATTGTATGCCATTGGAGGGTTGGTTAATTAGTTCATTTCATATTAATTTTTTTTTTGTATTTTCTCACTTTTCTGAATTGAATACAACTCAATTAATAATTTAATAATTCAAAAATTAATAATTAAATAATTTAATAATTCGATTAAAAATTTTTTGTATGAATTTTTGGCTCTATTTTTAGGATAAACAATTCTTTTCTATCTTCGATGGAAATATATAATGTGGAAAAAGATTTTTGGGCTTATGGTCCTAGAATGTCAACGTATTTTCATGCTGCTACCGCAGGCCCTAAATCAATTTCGAATGAAATTTCATAAATATTTATTTATTTATTATCATAATATAACGAACAATAATTAATAATTTATTTTTGATTTTTGTTTAAACTATTTTTCTCTTTGGAACTATGAAGGAAGGAATTATATTATGAAAAAATTATAAATTTAAAAAGAAAAAAGTGGTTCACCTCACTTTTTATCGGACTTCAGCGGAAAAAAATGATGATTGATTTCTATTTACTCTTATCTTGTCAATCTGAATCCTTTAATAACATTTATTTATTGAAAACCAGCCAAGCACGGTGACAACCCCATGTGCTTGCATTAATAACAACAGTTTAAAAAACAAATAATAAAATTTTGTAATAAGAAAAATAGAAAATATGATAAAAATTAATAATTTAAAGAGGAAATTGCAGAATAATATAATGTACAAATCGATGTATAAAACATAATCGGATGGTAAACAATCGAGATTTCATATTATGCATGATGTGAACTTTTTAAATAAAATCATGAAAGTTTTACACATAGTTTTTAATCTAGCCTATTAGTTCTTTTTGGATTCAAATTTAGGCTAAAATTATAATATTTTGAATAATCTAATTTAACATAACCATACAGAATCTTATAAGTATAAATTAAATTTTGTTTAGACGAGGTGACAAAGAATCCAGGTTATATAGTTTTCTTTTATAATTAAAATTGCAATTAGGAGAGAAGCGTCGTATAAAATATTTTTGGAGTCCTTTAATTATTTTACTTGACTTACGATATCTTGGGAAGTAACATGTAGTATGGTAGTCAAAAAGTAGCCGAACGAACACTTCGTACAAAACTTATAATAGAGATTGATGCTTAAGAACGCTTTATGATAAGAAATTTTCAGTTTTGTTATTAAAGGAACGAAAAATAAAATTTAGTACTTTTGAGGATTTCTTTAACATGGTTCTGCATTAAAGTTTGAAATCGAGATTTCCATCCATGATTATTTCAAGATCAGAAATGTGTGAGATTCTATTGGCAAGTTGTCCTAGGCTGTTAATGATGAGAAAAAGTTGTGATCGAAAAATTGTTCATTATAGCAAACCACAGGCGAGACTGTCTGAGTTCCACTAATTGAAGATTTTTGACAACACACTTCTTTAGATTGACACTTTGATTTCGACATTCTTTTCGCAACTGTTTGTATAACATTAATTCATTTTCGTTAAATCCTTCCACAAAAAGGGAACAATCGAGCACATCCATATACTTATCTTCAAATCTTAAGTACTGGTGGCTTGCCTGACCTCTTTCTTCCATGTCGACGAACTTTCTTAATGTAATTAGCGGCTACAATATTCTCTGCTAAGAGTCTATCGGCAGTAGCGGTTCCCTCATCCCTCATCAATAGATTTCTCCGAAATATCTATGCCAACTAGACATGGTTCTTTTTCCTTTTTTTCGAAATATTTATCAATAGTTTGCAATATTTGTTCAGTTGAGATTTTTGAAGGCTCAAAGTTGCCATCCAAAGATGAGGCTTCCAAATTATTAATATCACTTTTAAGTTCTTCGTTGACCTTTGTAAATATTTCAATAGATCTCGCTAAATGCAAAATTAGATCTTGTTACTTTTCATATTTTTCATTAATGGAGGATAATTGTAATCTTAGATCCTCTATAGTTTTAATTAAGCAGTTAACATCAGTATTAGAAACGACCCCATTAGTTGCTAATTTTTTCGGTGCCATTTGGAATTTCCTCTTATCTTACAAGTGCACAGTATAAAACGATAAGAACAATATACTTTTGAGAAGAATATCTTTTAGACGAATCCGATAAGAATAATGTATTCCTTCTATAGTTTTAGTGAAGCACAACAGATATAATAAAATAATGAATATTACAGAGAAAATGACCAACACAAACGCTCACGAGAATAGCAATAATTCCTCAGTGATTATATTATACAACATTACATTGATTGAATAAGTTTTTGTTCCTTTATTTATAAAATTATTTGGCCAAATCATTCATCTAAAGCGTAATAAATATTATAATTTTAATTTAAATTTAAATTAAAAAAATACCGAAGCATCTAAAAGTCATTTTAAGACAATTTATTCTTGACCGTTTGCAATTGTAGCGCATATATTTCTTTTGCATAACATCAATTAATCATATAGACAATGGTGTAGACATTTTAGGCAGGAAAAATTTTTTCAACAGGAAGCTGATAAAATACTTATTATCAAAAATTTATTTATCAATTCATTACCGCTTGTGGTAATGTTCGATTTCAAATATATTGGATCCGCTCCAGTCCCAAGTAGCCAGGCATAAAACCTGGATAATAGTAGCTGAAGTGGACTGATGAAACCTTTACGGAGACCATAAATTCCGCGTCCATATAGCAGCAGTTCACTCGATCTTGCTAAATGGCTGGGAAAAAACAGCCAATGAGAGTGGAGGATATTAAGAAATCGGCCTTTCACGATCACCACTAAGATGCACTTTACGGGTTCCCTGAGTGGATAAAACCTCAATCGTGTCCTCACCTTCATTCAAATATCACTTGTATAAATAGTACCTCACACACCGTCGCTAGTTAGTGGGTGGCACGAAAAGCGAAGTAGACGAATCAAGACTAACTCAGGAAAGATTTTGAACTTATACGTGGACCAGCGGATATATAGACTTAGACGGTAGAAAAAGGAATGGCTTCCATCACTATCAGCGATGGCACCAAATCGCGCAACCTGGAAATGTTTTAGCTTCGTAGCCAATGGAGCCAACTTAATCATTTTGCTATTAGAAAAAGAACTTATTTGCGCTTTCAAATAATAAAAAATTATGAAGAAATTTATTAAATCGAAAATTATTATTTGCTATAAATTTTATTTTGAATATTTTAATTTGTTTGATAAAATGCTTATCAATAACTGCTAAATTATCATTCTAAAACGTTTAATAAATAATTTATAATTGCCAATTTTTTATTAAAATGAATTCAAAATATTTAAATATTATATAATACAATGCGATAAAGGATCAACATTCCCAAATTTAATAATAAATTATTGATTAACTTAACAATCTGTCTACCTATAATCATTATCAGTCCGATTATCAATCCCTTAGCCTGGTTTATTACCCTGAGAAAAGGTGAGTGGTGAGAGGTGGGAGGGCGGAGGGATGGATGTGATAAGCATGATAATCCCACAGTTATAAACGTCTCTCTATGAGCCGATAACGAGCAAAGGATCCAGATATATCGGAATAGTGCTTCAATGGAAGGAATTTTTAACAATTGGCAAGTGCCCAAATTTCGCTAAAATTTGGCGCTTAAATTGTTCGGTATTTTGACGTATTTAAAAGAGGGATATGAGGTATTAGTTGGGTGGAGGGGGGGTGGGGGGCAGAGGGGAGGGGAAGTCTAAGAGTGGGGATTGTGGGATAACTGTTGAACTTAGAGCTGTTGAAATTTTGAGATGGTATTAAAGAATTCTAAAAGAATTATCAGTTCCCTGTAGGAATATAGCGCTGGATTCAGCAGTTCACTCGATCCAAAAATCCGAGTGATGCTGGCGTCTCAACTGTATTTCTATCGCTAAAGGACTCCCTATCATATTTATCCAGTGGGATAAGCCAGCGGAGCGAGTTTAACCAGTAATGGTGGAAATGAATTCGTCTAATTTTTCTTTATATTTAGTATTATTCAAATATCGGCAATCGCATTTTATGTGGGCGCCTATAGTGTATTTTTGCTTTTTGGCTAATTACATTAGCCGACTTTTCCGGTCCGATACAATTCCTAAAAGTAACACATTCTTCTTTCCACCATTCATGCTGGCCGAGCTTCGCCAAGTCACCAAAATTTTCCTTAACCATATCTGTCCAGGTTTTGTTTGTTTCTCCATTCGTTTAATGCTATCCGTCACATGATTTAGCAGCTAGCGAGATACGCATAAATTCCTGTGGTTGATGACTAATTCAAGTTCAGTTTTTTTTCATTATTTACAATTTTTGCAGATTTAGTATTTTTGCAAATAAATCAGTCATATTCGATAGATCCATTAATTTTCCAACTTAATGTCGAATAACTTGATTGATTCGCCGGAAGTGCAGAGGAAGAGTTGTGAAAAACGATGTGCTGATTATGAAAACTCTATATTATCGCTAACTCGCGAAAAAGTGAGAAAACAACAACTCGAAATGGATCGAATCAATGATGTACTTGAACATTACGATTTTCAGTTTTCTATTAATGAACCGGCTTCATTACATGAATTAAAAGAGGCGGTTGATGATTATACTAAATTAGTGAATAATTTTCTCGATTTACAACATGGAATTGAGGAAAATTGGTGCAATCAAAATTCTTCAAAATCCTCTTTGATCATTGAAACACACCCGCAAAATCCTGATTCCAATTCACTTCAACAACCGACATCCACTGCTTGTGCTTCTGGCGATAAACGACAATTTGAAATTGACGATCAAGGCGTACCGGATGACCCCGACCGAACGATTCATCCAGATGAGCTTAATAATTTTGATGGAACTGCACAGCAATTTCTACCTTCGACTGCAAATAGAATTTGTAGATCTGTTGAAGAATTAAAAACTATATGGGAAAAAGATGCAGAAGAAAATTTAGAGTCGATTCGTGAAAGAGTGAGTTTAGTAAAAAGAAGTAGCAGTGACAATCGTATTGAGAGGACAACAATTCGTGAAACGGATATAACTTCAACATTGCTTCCCCCTCCATTTCTTGTTCAAGTAAATATTATTTTATCCTTTTTTTTTGCAAAAAGTTATTTGAAATATTTTACTTTTTATTTCTTTATTTCTTTATTTTTTCATTATTTTATTATTTAATATAATATTTAATATTTTGTTATTTGTTTTGTTTTTTTAGCAAGCGGCAGTTTCGCATTCCATTTATGCCGCCAAACAAAATGTGCTTGCAACAGTGAAACATTCCCTTCCTGGGTTTCATTCGATTGCTGTTTCCTTACTTACGCAGAATTCGGGTGATATTATTGAGCGATTTATTGATGCGCTTAAGCGATACGATCAAATGGTACGATCTCATATAGCGCAATTGCTGAGGTAGTCATGTTTATTTCATTTTTATTCATATTAAAAATAAAAAAATGAATTTCGATGAATTTTATGTTAGTATAAAAGGTAAAAAGGGTTTCGCTAGTCAATAGAAATTATGGTATTGATTAATTTATTATTTTTTATTCTTATTAGTATTTTTTGCGACTTTTTTTTTATTATTTTATTTGCAAGCAAATATTTGCGATATTTTTTTACGATTTTACGTTTTCTAATTTCAAAATTATTTCCAAAATTTGAAAAAGGCACTGTTGGGGCTTGAAAAATGAATGTGGAAATTATGTATCCTATATATATATATATATATATATATATTGCCATACTCTAATAGATTGTTCAAATAAAAGGAAATATTTAATTAGTAGCATGGTTATGATCTTCGTTTTATTGCAGGCAATATGATAAACTATCTAATACATCGGAGAAAGAACATATGATTTATGAGATAAATTGTCAGGACAGAATAAGCCGTTTGGCGGAATCCAAATATCTGGAGGTACTAATATCTTTCTACCTTATATCGTAATTTTCTCTTGTGTCAATATAATGACTATCACAAATATTTCAACTAAATGAATTTCCTTCAGTTCACTGTGACTTGATAATTAAATTTTTTATTTTAGCTTTCTAACTTATCCACTCATGGTTTTTCTTCTATATCGAAGTGTTCGGTTATGGAAAAGCTACGTATTATACAGAGAGTATTCTCTCGAACTCTGCTTGGTTATCTTTGAGTTTCAACAATATTACCTTTTATGGACTGGCAGAACCGCATCCGAACGTGTGCCCGCGTTTATTTTCTTTCCTCCTAATACCTCTTCGAATATTGCTGCATTAATTTTAGACTATCTTAAATCCTAATATTTTCCTTGAAGGTTCTTAGTATTTTTCCTTCACGTTTACGCCCCATCAGTACTGTTATTTTAGCTGCGACTGCAGCAGTCACACGAAATTTGTAATAAAGGAGAAAAGTGAATGGATCTTTTAAATGAATCTGGTGGAATTGAAAATGGTAAAGGAAAGTTTAAAGTAGTTAGGTAAGTTAGGCATTTAAGCCTATCCTTTTTTTGTCATACATATACTATTAATCATGAATTTTTTTATTGCGTAGTAATGATCTCGAATTCTTTTTCTATTATATTTATATGATTCAGAATTTTCTTGGGTGAATGCGTAGAGTAAGCGAAATTTTCCCAAAAAAACGATAATGCATTAAAGAGATGAAAATGATTAAACTATTTTTTTTTAAACAGAATGGTAGAATATCAACAAGTGGTGGTAGATTTTTTTAAAGCTTAAATGTTGACTTCAAAAATTTTTCTTTGATCATTTTTATTTTTTCTCATATTTATTGTCACAAACGGGTTTACCAGAGTCCACTTTGCATTTATTGATTTACCATTTTTATCTCATTTTTCCATTTTCATTTTACAATTTTTAAATAAAATTTTTGATATTTTATTATGAGGGTTACATAATATCATAGATCTGCGGCCACCTTAGATGATTCATTAAAATTTAAGAGAGAATGCTAGTCTTGTTCTAACTTCTTTCTGAGAAAAGCACATTATATATTCGTTGATTCGTTGATTTTTATTTCAGCAAGTGAAAATCTGGTAGGTATTTAACTGAACAGGAACGTGATTTAAGACATTGGTTGTGTTGAGCTCCGATTGCAGTTGTAGTTTTTAGATATTATATTTTCGAATTATATTCAGATGATAATTTAAAATTATAAAGTAGATAAAAATAGAACAAGTCTTCATAACTTTATAATAGGGGGAATAAAGGCTATAACCTAGCGTTGTGTCAATCACCAATCCATTTTCTTAATGAGTGAAAAAATGCAATTTGTTTCATTGCGTTATCGGTAATAGAAAGTCTTTTAAAAACAAAAATAAAATTATTTAAAATTAAAATTAAGCTATATAAAAAATAACAAAATGCGATAAAACAATTTTAGCGTTACAAAAATGCCTATAACAAATGTTTCAAAAAATTTTACGAATTTTCAATCCAAAATAATAATTGAGATGAAGGCAAGAAAAAAAGAGATTAAAGAGAGGCTATAAAAAGGTAATTACAAATGTAATAAATATATGAATATTTAAATTCTTTACAAATTATAACACTTTAAATTTAAGAAAATTACTCAATAAAAACTTATATTCACATTGGAAGTGGCAGTGGAAAAAATATAAATATTTTATAAAATAATACAAAAATAAAAATTTATCTCATAAATGCATCTCAAAGGCCATTTAAAATATTAGAGGGAACAGATTTGTCGATGAATCCATTCATAAAGACAAATCTTTTTTTAGAAAAAAAATTTTACAGGAAAGAAATTTCAGTCGAAGAAAAAATTAGAATTAAATTAAAATTAAATTTAGATCGAATTTACCTCTTTACGACGATAGAAAAAGTCTATTTTCAAAAACTTTGCAATAAAATAACCAAAGAAGAATAAATATAAAGCTAATAGATCGAATTGACTTCTTATTTCTTAGTTTTTTCGTTTCTGAAATAAAATTAATTCAAGAAAAATAAAATATTCAACATTTAATACTATAAATATATAACGAGTCGACTTCTTTACCTCTAAAAATCTATATTAATAATATTAAATCAAAAATAAATAATAAAGAATAAAAAATGCAAACTTGACGATAACTTCAAACGAAGGCCTTATAATATCGCTGCTATTATTACTAGATAAAGAATCATTTGTACGAACGATTATAATTGGATCCGATCGCACAAACCCTCGTCGATCAATTAAACTAAAATAGAAAAATAAATTTATAGTTTTTTTTTCTTCTAATAAATATATAAATATTCAAACATAGTAGAATCTATTCGATATAGTCAATGTTAAGAAAAAAAAAAAGAAAATTTCTCAGAAAAACTTTATTAATAATAAATTTTTAATTTACAGCCTATGTTTATCCTATATTTTTTGCTCCATTATTCAAAGCTATTTATTTAAATTGACGATATTATTTATAAATATATTATCAAGGCCTATGTTTTGAACCATTCGATCTATAATCTATCTACCTAAATTAGAAAAATGTGTGCCAATTCATGCAAATAAGATTTGTAAAAATAAAGTTATAGAAAAACATCAAAAAACATCTGTATAAATGTTTAAATATTCAATAAAATATTCAAATAACCATAATAGGGTATTAAGACAAGGTAATAATCTAGGGAACACTTGTTGAATTAATTCATAACTAAATCAGAAGTTTAATTACCTCGGGCAGTAAAGTAAACAAAGCTATGAAAAGGTAAATAAACTGCAGCAGGGATAAACATTTCTTATTTATATGTGAAAAAAATAAATTATCTAAAAATTAAAATAAAAATTTTATTTAAAATTAAGATTAAAATCTATGTACAAATCCAATAAAATCCAAGGATTTTATGAAAATAGTTTTGCACATTGAAGTTTTTTTCATTGAATTTAAATAACTCTAAAATCAAATAAATATAATCAAACCTGGGTGGTTCGGGACCGCAAAGAGCATAGCAACAGTTATGAAAAATAGTCTTTTTTGCATAAGGATTTTTTATTCGAGGTCTACGCTTTGAACTGAACGTTTCTTTTATATCTTCATTGGTTGTTTGATTTGTCGCCAAAAGATAAGTATGAAAACCAGAAAGTCCAAAAATGGACCAAATAGAAAAGAAGCAAATTAGCGCCACCAACAAAGTGGTTGGACTATTTTTCACAGCACCCAAAAACGCTTTATCAGATTTCGATACTGCAAATAATAAAAACTTAGTAGATAATATAAACATTTATAATATTAATGTATAGAAATAAAAATGCTGAACATTTGAATAACAACAACATTCATGAGAAAATGGTACCTTTAGTACCTTTAGTTATCTTTCTGTGGATCAAATAACTGATAAATGTCATAAATTTCTAGAGAAGAGTAGAAAAAAGAATAGAAAATGCATGACGCTATTTTTACGTCATGACAAGTTCCGTATTAACAAGTTATTTTTGTTAAAAGAATATTAAATTTGAAATTTAGCCAAAAAAAACTAAACTAACACATTGTTAGATGAATACATTCACAACAAAATATAAATAATGTAAGTACTGTAAGCAGAACAATAAAGAAATAAAAATGTCGATAATTACGCTGCCCCACACAATTACCAACCCAAGGGCCTGAAATTAAATCGAAAATGATGAATTTAATAAATTTAACAAAAAATTTGGTAAAAAAAAAGAAACATCAAGAAGACAAAGAGAGAGAAAAAAATATTACAGATGTTTTAAAAATATTTCCATTTTTTTTAGCCCTCACCATTATTGGTTAGGTTGGCTGTATAGGTGGGCTATAAGAACAAAGTGCGCTCGGCTCGATATCATATCCAATATCAGAAGAAGACTCTCTTTTTTCCACCGTAGAAGCCTATATATCGCTGGACCATCTGGTCTTCATTTAAAATCTTTTTTGACCAAATCTTGATTAGTTATCCTCGCTTTTGACCTATGTAGAGTAGGGTTTAGTGAGAAACGTATTCAATTCCTGCAATAGGGGCGAAGAACAAGCCTAACTAGGATAGACGACGCTTTGTGACGATAATTTGAAGAGAAATAACATATAAGCGAAGATGCATAATGCAGGATTTTATCCGCCCGAAAAAAAATAAAATGTACCTTAGATATGAGTGGTCAAAGATAGATAACTTATTAATATCATTCTCACTGGCCAAGTATAACAGTTATATAGTAGGATGGAACGCACTACAATTAGTTAGACAGATGTGCGAATTCCGGGCTGTAACTTCATCTTTCACTTGGCCATTTGGTAAAAGAGTGGATCCAAGATATTTAAAATCTGCCAATTCCTCAACCCGTGATAAATTGATAAAAATGATAGGCATATAATTATAATTTATTTCAGCGAAAAAGAACGGAAATTCTTCAGCTCATTTTTTTGAAACAAAAATGATAGGCATATAATTATAATTTATTTCAGCGAAAACCAACGGAAATTCTTCAGCTCATTTTTTTGAAACAAAAATTTTAATCTCTATCGAACCCGCTAAAATCTTAAAAAATATTTCTCTAATATTCTAATATCCTTTTCTTTTCCAAAAATATTCTTTCATTAAACTTTTAATTACTATTATGAAAAATTAGCTTACAGTGATGATCAAAATTAAGAATGCAATTATCGCAAACAGAGCAGTGAGAGGATCTAGGAGGACGAAACAGACGACATGAAAAACAATATTTGACTTTGATATTTTGACCATTAATTAAAATAGTTTTTGTTCGTGGTGGCAACCGAATTGTATCAGATGTATTCCTTTCTGAAAATATTACTTTTAAGATACTTTTTGAAGAAATTTTACACTTTTTACAAAATTAAAAATTTCAAAAATTGTTGATTTTTTCCACATTTAAATAAGCCATCATTTGTTTGAAAAAAGCTATTCCATAAATTTAATTTTATTATATCAATTCACTAATATCAACATACCAATCAAATATCAGACAACCATACCATAATAAAATAAAATTAATCAGTTACCAGAAACATTTTGACGATCGAGCTCCACTGCTTCCATATTTGTTGCTTTAGGAAGAATACCTGGATCAGAAAATGATGCTTTAAAGAGATTTACAAATACTAACAACAAAAGCACCGCTGCAATAATAGGTAAAGCTGGCGAAACACGCATAGATAAAAAAGGCGCGCTGAAAATAGAATAATAATCATGTTATAACATATTTGTTCTAGAAAAAATTTGGAAATTTTGAAAAACTCTAGATTTTTTTCAAACCACTAAAAATTTTTTTGTTTACATATATTTTATATATAGATATATTTTTTAAACAGCCCTCACCATTACTGGTTAGACTCGCTCCGCTGGCATATCGCACTAGACAAATATGCCAGAGAGACCCTTGACGACAGAAATACAGGTGAATCGCCACACGGATTTTATTCTTAGAGCATTAGCGCTCAAAATCTCAGCATTAGCGCTCCGAATTGAGCAGCAACCCATTAAGCCATATATAAGATTACAATTTCATTCGCTATTTTGAATAAATAATCAATGTTGATAATGACAATATACTAAACTATTTAAATCTATCTGAAAAAAAACTAATCTAACCTAAACTAATTTTCATTTGCAACATCAATTATTGAAATAAATTACTGAGTATATTTTATCTTCGCATCTTTCATGAATAAATTGAAAGCTTTATCCTAAATCGCAAAACTAAATGGTACGAAATTTGTCTTTACTTATATCGCTAAATGACTGATTCTCTGGCAAAAATTTCGACCATCCAACGGAATTAGTTCAATTGAAAATGGTGCGCACTATTTAGTTTGTTTTTATATATATATATATATATTTTTATATATTTTTTCATTTTTATATTATTTTGATTATTTTTATCATATAAGCACAAAGTTTTATCTTGTTAAATGAATAAATGAATAAACAAATGATTAACAAATAAATAAGATTTTTCAACTTACTCAAATATAAAAAAAAGCGTCATTGTTGATAAAATAAGAAAAATTGTAATAATAAATATAGAACTTTGTCGAGCCATAATAATACGACCATTACAGCAAAATTGATTTCTACCCGGATGTAGCTGCCATTTACGAAAGCCGACCACGTCGGCCATTATTGGCCACAATTTCAATACCTACGATCCTTCTCCAATTGTTGTTCTCTAAAATTTATCCATTTAAATGTGAAAAATTGCCGATAACAATAGGAATAATTATTGCAGTATTTATGAGCTTATTCGAAAATTCTTAAATCTTTTAAAATTTCAAGATTTCGTGAGAAAATTAATAATGGAAATAGCCCACCCAAATAATAGATTAATATTTTTATTGGCCTATATCTGTAACCCTTGGAAATATTTTGACCGTCTAAAAAACCGATTACAGAGTGGTGTGCCTCGTCCTTAATTTCGTATTCCTTATTAGATGCCTGAGAGTTTCGAGATTCTCTGCAATGTTCTTCCAAGCAGAGATTTTTGATGCTATTTGATTTTTTCTTTTTATTTTTTATATGATTTATAAAATATTTTTTATCTTAATTCCTAAAATTAATAAAATAATTACTGCGAAATTCAAGGCATTTATGCTCGCTTCATTGATTATTAGTACGATGAGAAATTTTTAAGCCACACCAGATTTATAACAATAGGTTTACTCAAGCTGATGGCGAGTTTTTAATCATCTCTGAGCAATAAACCAATCGATTACCTTTCTCCACATATCTTCACTGTAGAACATAGAATGGTTCAGTGAGTTGAATGGTTCAATTCGGAGCACCGATGCTGAACTTCTACTCTCGAAAGAAGTAAGCCTGTCCAAAAATCCGTTATGCTGACAACCGCGCTTCCATCGCCATCGAACTCTCTGGCATATTTGTCAAGTGCGACAACAAAAGTTCTTTAAAAAAATGCATCTTTATTAAATTTTTTCCAATTATCAAAATTAAATTATCATTCCTCCCCCCTCCCCTCCGGCGACGATTCCATTTCCTCCTATCTATACTATTTTATCTAATGAAATTTATCCATTCTTCTTGTTAAAAACCACCCACACTCATTTCTAGGAAAAATAGAAAAAAATTAGTAATTGAAATCAATGATTTACAAATTACAGTAACCAAGGAATCTTGTTAATTTAAATTTCATCAATTATAGCACAATATTTAGATGTGTACCAAAAAGTTCCAATTTTCTTCAGCCAAATTTTTCACAATTTCTCGAGTTATGCACTATTTTTTTGCGAAAATAAAAATTTTTCCCAAAAAAAATTTCAAAGTTCCTCGATTTTAGATGATTTGCGATGCTTGGAGAATTCCAATGAATGGACGAAAAACTTCCTAAGCTAGGCTGTGAAGAAGGATTACGGTACGTGTCCAGTGGATCGCATTTCATAATAGAAAATTTTCTAGAATCACCTGAGGTGTTTTCACATCGATCCTAAAACTTATTTCAATTCACCATTATCAGTTATGATAGGTATTTTCACGAACTTTTGATGAGAACCATCGCCCTTATTCGTTATTTCTTCAATTTTAGCAAATATATAAATTATAAGACAAGATTGTTCTCGAAAAATTCACTTAAAAACGAAGATTTAATGTTAATTGATATAATTTATGGATTATCATAGAAAAATTATCATATTGTTATCACAAAAACATTATCATATCGTTATCACAAAAAAAATCCTAATAACTTGCGCCATTACTGATTAGACTTTGATATTATTAGATAATATATCGACAACTACAGCAAAAAATTAAGCTCGAAATTAGAAATGATTGATAATCGTTTATAAAAACTATTTCTAAAAATTTGATACCAATATTAAATTTCAGTTCGCTGAACAATCGTTCATCTACGGATGAATGGTTGATTCGATGAACAACGATGAGTCCATCAAATCGTCTTCGATTTCTATGCATTTCCCAATTATGTAATTTATTACTGCTATTTATTCTATATTCAGCCGCCTTTTATCGTGTTCAGGTAAATATTCACTTGAATTTTTCCTCCTTTATTTCTTATTATTGGGAAATGGCTTAGTGAGTTGGTTGTTTCAGAGCGCGCTAATGCTGAAGTTCCACTCCCCTTAGGAGTAAACCTGTCCAGAAATCCTGGTTATGCTGGTGACTCATTTGTACTTCTGTCGTCAATGGACGACTCCTTGGCATATTTGTCCAATACAACAAGCCAGCGGAGCGAGTCTAATCACTAATGATGAGGGCTCTTAAAAAAAAATTTCTTTTTATAAATATTTTGTATTTGGCTTGGTTTGCTTCACTGGCTGTTATTAAGTAATTTACAAATGATTTTTGCTATTTTTGGACAAAAGGATACAGCTGGATAGCCAGCATTATCCGGATTTTTTGCTAATAGATTTGGTTCTTCCGGAAACGCCGTCTGAAATATAATATTCGATACGGTAACTGGAACAATACCTATGCGGTTATTTTGCTTCCATAAAAGGTGTGTAAGCAAGCAAATACACCTTATCAAAATTTAATGAAAAAAGCTTCTATTTTTATAATCTATGATAGTTTATGAAAATTTAATTATTTTATAGAATTTTCATTGTCATGAAAATAAAATAGCGTCAAAAATACGGCGAATTCGTCGGGAAGCCCATTTATTTACAAATGATTTCGACAAGTGGGCACATATTAGCCAAGATACGGTTATTACGGTTAGTTTTTTAAAATTATTATTTTAATAAGAAAATATTGGCTAACCAACCGGACATCGGGGTCAAGTAGGACAAGAATCAGAAAATAGCGATGATGGTAGATATAGCAGTACCAAGCGATAGGCAGATTAGGAAAGAAAGAAAGGACTAGAGAAAGTGTGGAAAATAAAAGCCAAAATGATTCCATTGGTAGTAGGAACTCTTCGTCTATGAAGCGGTGAAAATGGCTCCAACAGATTCCACGAACAACAATAGAGAACTAACTCTATTCAAAAGAGCGCAATGCTAAGATGCTTTACAGAACTTTCAAACCCTCGGAATTCTGGTAAAACATCTAAATTTGAGGAAAACCTTTCCACCTACAAAAAAACTAGAAGGGGAATATGTATTGGTGCAAAAATGAATTCAGTAAAATTGCATTTTAAAAAGTGAAAATAATCGTTTTCATTTTTCTTTTACAAAGATTTATAATTTTCCGAATTTCCTTTCTTCATTTTTATGATTAAAAAATTGAAAACTTTGAAGATTCCCTCCAGTTTCAATTTTTGATGCGTAAAAATTTTCGTTATTTCAGAAAAATGTATTTGAGAAAACATGTCATCGAATTCATCGACACTGTTCAGAAAATGGAAAAAAATTTATAGGATTTCAAGGACCTCGAGGACCGCCTGGGCCCCAAGGCCCAGCAGGTCCAGCAGGTCATTTTTCTAGAAAATGGTTTTGTTAATCTTTTAGCTGAAGCGATTGTTTAAGCCCTTATCAGTGGGATTATATCAGCTGGAATATAATTTTTTTGTAGTTTCCCTGAAATTATCGGGCAAGATAATAGTTAACAACAGAAATAACATTTTTTCTATTTGTATATTTTCAGCTTATATGCTCTTAACATGCTCTTAATAAAGATATAGGTAAAAGAGGCCCCCAAAGAGAAATAGGACCTACAGGGTTCTTGAAACTAATTTAAATTACCAAAGTGATATTTTGTATATATAGTTATATATAGTTATCACTGCATGTTTAAAAGTGTGTTACAGGTAAAAGAGGACCCCAAGGAGAAATGGGACCTACTGGATTAGTTGGAAATATTGGCGAGGATGGTCCGCCAGGAATAGATGGCAAGCTTTTTCCTTCTCATTTTTTATTTTAAGCCAATCAACAAAACTGTATTGCTGAAAACTGATAAAAGTGATTAAAATAAAATAAAAAGAGAAGTATTCAGGGCAATGTAATTGTTCATTTCCCGATTTGTATGTTTATCCAATTGCGGTGCCTGGCCCCTCGACAATCGAAATTCGTGAAAAAACCGTTCCTGTGCCCGTTATTTTGGTAAAAGAAATCGAGGTACGTGTTAAAGTCTGAATCTATAAAGCTGCAGTTCTCTTGATCTTATGTAGCAGCGTGATATGGTCAGTGAGAGTGGAGAATATTAAGTTATCTATCTTGGACCACTCATATCTAAGATATAGTTTACGGTTTCGCCGAGCGGATAAAATCTTGTATAATTGCAATCATCTTCGCTTACCTGCATTAATAGCGTTGCCTTCGCTGGTTATGGCACTTTCTCTCGTCGCCTACCACAAAAGTTGATACATATTTCGTTATTCCTTAAAGTTTGGTTGACCTTAAAAAAGGAGGGCCAATCAAATCCTGGATTGATAGTCAGGAAGATTTTGATCATATAAGTTAACCAGCTATATATGTATGAGCTCTTAGATGATGAAAAAAGGAATGAGTTCTATTATAATAGGTGGAACCAGCCTAACGGTGAAAGTTGTTAGAAAAAGAATTTTACTATGTATTGAACTGAAAATTTGGGCTGGAATTATTGTATAGCAAATTTTATCAAATTTTCTTAGATATCTTTCTTTCTCATTAAGGTTACCAGGCTTGTGCCATTCGTACCAACTGCCTCAGGTGTCGTACCACCAGCAGGTTGGTTTCCTGATATTGGTCGACCAGAGATATTGCCCAGGCAGACAACTGCGGCTATTCCAGCTATTATATTTAATACGACAGGTTTTTTTTTTTTTTTAAAGAGTTCATCTCACCATTATTGGTTATACTCGCTTCGCTGGTTTTTCATACCGGACGAGCCAGGGAATCATTTGGCGATAGAAGCATAGACGAGTCGCCAGCATCAACCGAATTTATGGACAGGTTTATTCCTACAAGGAATAGAACCTCATCATCGACGCCTCGAATTGAGCAACGAACCACTGAGCCATTCTATGCCCTTAATAGCACAGTTTCTCAAATTTTATTATGATAGATGACGTTTTTTAAATCGTTCCTATCTAATTTTGGTCATTTTCAACATTTGATCGGCCAAATTTGGGAATATTATTAGCTTCAATTTTGTCATAATTGATAATTGGTGAATAATGGTGAGATTATCGTGCTGGAAAATAAGATTTCGGCTCCAGTTTCAAAACGATTACTTAAAAGCTCCAGACACTGGCTTATCTGTAATTTTATAACTCAAAAATATCCTTCGCAAAAATTTCTCACCATATTAATTGCCAACTGAATTTAGCATAATCAGAAATGGTAAGTCGATCAATCACTTATTTGCTTATCGCAATTGATAATTTTTTTTTTTTTTTTTAATATTTTTTTTCTCATATCTAAATGTTATAGAAAGAGAAACTTTGTTTGATGGATTGAATGAAACTGATTTTTATCAAAAAACAACCACAATTATACCTTATGAAGGACCACCAACTCTTGGATATAATAGAAGAGGTAATTTTATTTTATCATTTGTCTTGAAGATCAACTTATTTTCTTTTTCTGATAGTATTTTCTGTAAGTTTACAGTTAATCATTTCTTCTTTATCATTTATTTTATCTTAAAATTCATAAAATTTTCTAGAATGTTTATTGGATGCAGTTGGAATACCGGTCTTACACGCTGAATCCCAGTATAGTTCAGTTGGCTCATGGATGCGTGATAGTTTACCAGTTAGCGAAAAAATGGCTGAAATAAGATGGGTCACTGATGAATATGCTTCTCCCGTTCTATATGAATATGAAAATGAACGTCAGTTGATGAATAAAAAACAAAAAATCAAGTTTGTTTTAAAGAAAAATTGTAAACGACTATTGTGATGAACCAAAGAAGGCATGAAGGCATGAAGTCATGTACGGTATTAGCAACAACAAATAACAAACGATAGGACTAGTAACAGTGAACTGAAAATATAGCTGGAATGGTTCAACGCAATTTTATACGATGCTATAGCTCTATTAAGTGTCTGAGCGTCAAAATTTACCCAGTGTCACCCAGTTTTTTCCGATGGTTAATGCATCTAATGCAGAAATCATGGAACGAGACAAATCGATCTATGATTTCAGTCCCATCCGATACTATTTATGCACGAACATAATAAATATCATGCTGAAAGGCAAGATCGGCTCTTTTTTCCGAGAGTCCTGGTAATCCGACCGTATTTCTTATTAACAGCCAGCAGAACTAGCCTAAGCAGAAGTGCAGAAATGGTTAATTACTTAGTCCTAAATGTCCTAAAATGAAATGAAATTTTGCAGGATTTTTTAATAATAAGCAAGTAGATAAGTCAGAAAAGCGAGATAAAATTATCAAAAAAGATAAGGAAAACGAAGCATCCGATAAGTAAAATTTTACGAATTTTATGAATTCATCTTTTACAAATTCAACAAATTCAAATTTTTTTTGAAAGAGTCCTCACCATTACTGGGTTAAACTCATAATACTGGACGAACATGGCAGGTAGTCTTCTTGGCGATAAAATCACGGGTGAGTCACCAGCATTACTAGGATTTTTGGATGGGTTTACACCTGTAGGGAGTAGATCCTCAGCCTCAGCACTCCTAATTAGGCAACAACCCAATGAGTCATTCTACTCTTAAACTCATAAATATCTTGAAAGATATTAATATCTTGATTGAATTCTCCGAGCATGTTCTTCGTTACACACTACAAGAGTTGATATATATTTCGTTACTTGCTAAAAACCCTACGTCAAAAGTGAGGTGGGCCAATCAAAACCTGTACTGATACGGCCAGGAAAGATTTTGAACGTATAGATGGACCAGCAATATATGGACTTAGAGGATGGAAAAAAGAATGGTTTTTATTACTTTCGACGATGGCATCAGATTGCGCACCTTGGAAAACCCTTATTGCCAGTGGAGCCAGCCTAACCAGTAATGTTAGAAGAAAAAGAAATAAGTATTTAAATGGGAAGTAACGTTAGTTGTACAGTTGATAAGAAAATCGGATAGGTCAATATTAATATACAGAGTGGCCTAACAATGATCATTTAAATTATCTCTCACCTGTTGAAGAGAGACCAACATTACAACAATTTTAAGTAACATGAAGCCATATGACCAAAACCAAAGTGATTCATCAGGGAGATTAGTTAAAAATCAGAAGTTTGTGGAACTTCTTAAGAAAACCATCTTAGGACATTAATAATGTTTGCATCAAAATAATTTTTGCACAAATTATAATTATAGCCACGATTAATCAGACAAAAATTAGAAAGACTGGCAATAATGATATGGATTTTCATAATATTTTATCTTGCCTAATGGTACTATTCGACTACTATTAATAGAGGATAAATTAAACGATTATTAGTGATCCATCTTAGTTCGAGTAAAAAATTTCGAAACACTGAGTTTTCTTTTCCTGCAGAAAAATTCTATAATCATTCGACCATATCAATCAAAATCATTTTGAAAAGCTTTAAAAATATTTCTTATAAAAAAAATTTTAAAAAAATTTGCTTACTTACGAAAAATTTTACAATTTTGAAATTTAGAAATGAAATTTTAAAACTTCAAAATTTCAAAAATTTCAAATTTCAAAAAATTCAAATTTAACCAAATTTCGAAAAAAAAGTTTAAAATAATTAGAATTTAAACTTAAAATAATTCAAATTTTATGAATTTTATTCGAAGTTTAAAATTCATTAATATGAAATAATTAAAATTTAAATTTAAAATAATTTAAATTTGAAATAATTCAAATTTAAAATATAAAATATAAAATATATTTAAAATATAAAATAAATATACGAATAAGAGTTTAACAGATAAATTCAAACATAACAACCTTATGCTAAAATAAAAAATTTCATATTTCATTTCTATGAATAATATAATCAACCAAACCATTAATGGTGCATGCTGGTGTATGTTGGTGCATGGTGAATGAGGATATTTATAAACGAATTTAAATTTAAAATTATTCAAATTTTATGATTTTTATTCGAAGTTTAAAATTCATTTATTGCTTAATACGAATTTTTTAAAATAAAATAAAGGAATTCTTAAAAGAATTTTTTAAAGATATTACGTTGACTATTTGGCATCGGGAACAGGAAATATTATTTATAATGGTTCTTATTACTATCATCGGCATGGATCAACTTTTCTTGTAAAATATGACCTCCAATCGACCCATCAAATTCAACAGGATTTTGGCAATATATCACATTTAGATTGTGCTCGAAAACCTGATCATACATTTGAAGTAAGATGAATATAATATACGAATAAGAGTTTAACAGATAAAACCTTATGCTAAAATGAAATGAATGATAAAATGAATTTCATATTTCATTTTTAAGAATAATATCATCAACCAAACCATTAATGGTGCATGCTGGTGTATGTTGGTGCATGGTGAATGAGGATATTTATAAACGAATGAAGAATGCATGACAAAATTGATTTTTTTAAAGAGACGAAAGCACGTGTCGTTAGTCGCATTTGGCTCAGTCTTGCCATATGGCTGCGAAACACGGCCATTGAGAGTGGAGAAAATTAAGTATCTATCTTGGGCCACTCATGTCAAAGATATACATCTTACAGATCGGTGAGGGGATAAAATCGCACATATTTGCATTCACTCTCACTCAAATACCATTTGCATTAGCAATACTCATAGAATACCATCTTCGCTGGTTAGGGCACCTTTTTCGTCGCCCACCACATAAGTTGACACGTATTTCGTTAGTTGCTTAATCTTGACGATTGGCGTCAAAAGTAGTCCAATCAAGACGTGGTCTATCAGGAAAGATTTTGCACCAGCGATACACATCTATTATAATAAATTGTCTGTTATATTTCCCTCTGCCATACCGATTTTCTCTTTCTTCTCACAGCTCTCATCATTACTGGTTAGGCTGGCTTCGCTAGTCTCAAAGGCTGCAAGCATTAGACATTTCCAAATCTTATGTCATACCCGAGAGTAACCACTCCTTTTATTGCTTATATAATAATAGGATTTATAATATGCCATCGCCTTTCGGGTATTTTGATAAATCGTATTCTGCTTTAATTCTATTGTGGGGAGGTATGATTGAATGATACAGCTGCTTTGATTTGCGCCAAGCGATTCATCTTTTGATAATTTGGTAATTTTTGATATCACCAATTGGCTCCCTTGCAAAATTCACGTAGTAATAGCCAGCGAAGCTAGTCTAACAAGAAATGATAAACGCTAATCACTAATCACTAACGACGCAATCTGTTGTATTTCTGATAAATCAGGCGAATCGTTAACGAAGTATTCCAAAGTTTTTTAACTTATTAATTTTAATATTTCGAAAATTTCAGGTAAAATGTGATTACTTTTTTTTTTTTAAAATCATTAGAAATTTTGTATCATATTTAGAATTGTAATGAAACAAATCGTGATAAATGGTTATATAATCGTCCGCACAATTACGTTGATTATGCAGCTGATGAAAATGGCCTTTGGGTCGTTTATATTCGCTCTAAGCGTTCACATATTACAGTCAGTAAAATTGAACCGGTAAATTTCTAAATTTCAAAATTTAGAATTCTGAGCCATCAAAAAATATCGAAGAAATATTATGCTTTAAAGAAAATCAAATCCTCTAAGCTAGTAGGCTGACAGTACGAAAAAGCCATATTAAAGCCTTTGGTACTCTGAAATTTCAATTTTAATTCAATTTAGAAATATTTTTCCGATTTGTTAAAACTTTCTCCTATTTTTCTACTCTAATTTTTTAAATTTTTTCTTTCCAGGATTTTTACATTGTTCATACCTGGGATATCGAAGAACTGAATGCGACAGAAATTGCTGATACGTTTATCATGTGTGGCGTACTGTATGGTTTGAAAAGTGCTACAGATCGCGATACTATAATATCGTTCGCATACGATTTATACAAGTTTAAAATAATTTATTGCATATATAATTTATTTTTAAAAAATTATGATTCCATGATTTTTCTTTGCAAAATCACTCGAAATTACTTTTACTGATTACTTATCAATTATCAATTAATTACCAATATATGGAAATTATCGAAATATAAGATATATAATATCTTTTTTTTTTCGACAAATATTATTCATTTCAAGAAAAAATTTCGAAATTTAGGAACGAAAAAATTGACATCGATGTTAATTGGTATAATCCCTATCAAGGTATGACAATGCTTGATTACAATCCCATCGATGGTCGTTTATATTTCTTTGATTCGAAACGTCTTCTAAGTGTTAATGTACGAGTGGATAGTGATGAAGACCAATCGAATGATATATCGCAATTTGAATGATTTTTATTTTTGCTTATATTTTTTTCGATTTTTTTATAATATTATCATCTATTGAAACATAGCTTATTTATTCAGAACTCTGTGAACTCTGTGAATGAAGTTTCATGCAAATAGTAAAAAAGATTATAAAAAGTTATTCATTTATTTTTTCTTATCCATATTTTTTTTGAATTTTTTTGTCAAATCATAATTTATTATTAAAAAACCCTATAATGGAGGTAAAATGGCTCAGTTGGTTATTGCTTAATTCGGAATGCCGGTGCTGAGGTTTTATTTTCCATAGAACTATCTAAAAATCCGGGTGATGCTGTATACTCACTTATATTTCTATCGCCAAGGGACTCCATAGACTTCCATTTTGTTTAGTATGATAAACCGGCACAATCTAATCAAAAATGGTGAGGGCTTTTGAAAAAAGAAAAAACCCAATAATAATGTATCGTTTATGTTCCAAAATATGAATCTTATAAAATAATGAGAAGGCTTATTGAATGAGGAAGGCGATAAGAAGTGTAAAAAAATAATGTCGTTGAACAAGACAAAATATTCTACTTAATTTAAAAATTAACCGTTTTGCACATAGTTGATGTATAATTCGAGTTATATGATTGTAATTAAAGCACGAAATAATCTGTTGTATTCATCTATTCAGCAGTTTAAGGCCAATGATACATCCAGAAAAGAAGGTTTTCAGGCTGAACTCTTCAATTATCGTTTTGCTTTCATATCTTCAAAAGTTGCATCAACTGACATGACAAAATTTTCACACCACTGTAAAGGTGATAAGCATAATATCTTTTTTTTTAAGAGTCCTCACCATTACTGGTTAAACTCGCTCCACTGACTTGCCGCATTAGACAAATATACCAGGGAATCTCTTGGCGATAGGAATACAGGTAAGTCACCAGCATCACACAGATTTTTGGATAAGTTTATTCCTGCGAGGAATCGAACCTCAGCATCGGCTCAGAATTGATTTATGACCCAGTGAGCCATTCTATCATCTTGCTAGTGTCTAGTTCTCATCATTTTTGGCCACTTCGTTGTTTATTACTAGGATGGCACAGTTTTTTGGAATGTTATCAAATCTCTAACACCTTGAATGGCGTTTTATTCATGCTGGAAGCATAAGCAGAATCAAAGTTCGATATCATAGTTAATGAAAACACTTTCTATGCAATATCCCAGTGATGATAAAATTACAGATGATAACGTGATTAGATGATAAAGTGAAGGGGAACACTGGAATTGAAAGGTATGATAGAGACTTAGCGTAAAAAGTGCCAGGCTTCGAAGCTTTTTAGCACGAATATAAAGACTTTTGAGAAAACATCAAACGTTTGGGGAATAATTCTGCTATTGCATAAAAGCCTTAAGCCTTTTATTATTACTGGATATAAATTTCCTTATTGGAAAAAAATTTGACACTACTAGAAAAATCTGAAAAAGGAGGCAAAATTTGATAGTGCATTAAAAATCTATTATATGTTAAAAAAAATTTCTTATCTTCTTGTTGAGGAGTAGCTCAATTGAGTACCGATGCTGAGGCTCTATTCCTCGCATGAGTAAATCTGCTTAAAAATGCTAGTGATGTTGGCCACTCTTACGACTCACCCTGTACTTCTATTACCAAGGCATATTTACTTAGTGCAACAAGCCAACGAAGCGAGCCCAACCAGGGCTGGTGAAGGCTCTTAAAGAAGTTATTTCCTGAATGACTCCGAAATGGGAAAATTTATTTCGCTCGACTGGTCTAATTATATAGCAAAAACTTTATTTTACTCTCCTGGTCCACTAATGATATCGCAATGAACCACTGAACGGACCATTCATTTGCCTTATCAAATTATAAACCATAATGATTTGTTTACACAATATCACTTTGTGTACTATAATTAATGACTACTTCGAATAAAAATTGTTTAAAATTGTCTATTATTTAAATTATTGTAATTTCAAAAAATATTTTTAAATATTTATTTATTTATAAAATATTTAAAATTAATTCGTGAATTTTCTTGTGAATTGCAATTTCTCAAATTTTTTTCTTTTATTTTAATCTTATAAAATAAAATATTCATAAATATAGAGGAAAGAAATATAAACTTATTTAAACTTATTATAATAGAAAAAAATATTAATATTATTTAAAAATTATAATATTAAATAAATAATATTATTATATTTGAAAAATTATCATATTAAGTAATAGTACTAATGTTATTTAAAAAATTAAAATAATCTTCAACATTTTAATATTATTGAATATTAAACATTTATAATAATTTTATTTGAAAAATTGAAATTATTTAAATTAAATAAAAAATAAATCTTAATAATCACCGCATTAATAAAATTTTACTTATCTTTAATAAAATTTCCTTAGTTGCCAATAATGTTGAATTTTTATAGCAAAAATAGAATAGCATGTTGAAAATTCAGTTGGAGTGAACAATTCCAACAAAATGGTTCCAACTGTCGCAGTATAGGAGATAGAATGACTCAGCGGGTTGTTGCTCGGTTCGGAGCGCCGATGCTGAGGTTCCATTTCTCGTAGGAATAAGCCTGTCCAAAAATCCGGGTGATACTAGCGACTCATCTATAATTCTGTCCCCAAAGCGCTTCCTGGCATATACGTCTAGCGCGACAAGGCAGTTTAACGATGAGGGCTTTTAAAAAAAAAAAATAATTTTAAATATAAATTTAGCAAAAATTAATGAATAACAATATACATTACGATTTTTGAAACTGTTGAAATATTTCAAGCTGGAAGAAATGAATGCGATAGAAAATTTTTTTCTCAAATTAAGTAGTCCTTCTTCGCATATTGGAACCATTTAATAACAAAAAATTTGAGAAAATTAACAATTGTTGTCAAATGCAAAAGCATTATGTCAAAAAAATGATAAAATGATAAAAAAATGATATGGCGTAGACGAGATAAATGAGCAAGATAAGCTTTTTTTTCAAAAGACTCTCACCATTACTGCTTAAATTCGCTCCGCTGGTTGTCGCACTGGACAAATATGCCTTAGTGATAGAAATGCAAGGTAAACCGCCAGTATCACTCATATTTTTGAACAGATTTCCTCCTGTGGGGAGTAGAACATTAGCATCGGCGCTCCGAATTGAGCAACAACCTACTGAGCCATTCTACTCCTGAGATAAGTATTTATAACATACGCTAACCTAGTCTAACTTACTATTACAACAAAACAAGCACCTTTTTTTATGACATCAAAATTCACGTTACCAACTATTAAAACAATTAAAAATTTTTGCCACAGAGACATTCGGGAATAGTGGGAACTTTGATAGTTACAAAAATTAAGCAACAATCACTCACCTATCCTGCATATATAAAAATTTCGCTATGTGGTGTGGATCACCTCAACCTCTGGTCCTCTGTCAGAAACCAAGGGGTTTGAAGATTATTTCTTCTTACGCTAGGTTGTCCTGTTCGTCCAACATCTGGCACTATCCCACTAGCATATTTACCATCTGATAACCTTAATTCCTTAACCTCCGGCGTTAGTCCAAGCGCCTCAGTGCAAACCTAGGTGACTCTAGTTGCGAGTGATTTTTATATTTCAGGTTAGACCATGTAAGCTTTCAGCGGTTCTTACCAAAGGACTAAAAAATCATATGAACGAAAAGCATATGTTATTTTTTCTTTATAATTTTTCTTCATTTAAAAAAATTTTATTTATTATTATTATTTTATTATTATTATTTTTATTATTATTTTTTATTTATTATTATTATTATTTTATTATTATTTTTGTTTTTTATTTTTTATTTATTTTAAAAATTTAATTTATTTTATTTAAAATTCTTCATTCAAAAAAAAAATTTATTTCCACTTTTTTTTTATTTTATTATTATTTTATTATTTTATTATTTTATTATTTTTTTATTTTATTTTATTTTTTTATTTATTTTATTTAAAATTCTTCATTCAAAAAAAAAATTTATTTCCACTTTTTTTTTTGTTTTCAGTTATTTCTTATTTAATTATTTAATTATTTTTTAATTAATGAAAATAAAAATAAACTTTTAATAAATTCTATTTTAAAAAATTTATTTGTAAAAATCGAATAAAACTGAAAAAACTGGTTTATATTTTTTAAAAAAGTGTGTAAAATTTTTTTTCATCATTAAATAATCGAAAAAATATTTCCAATTATTTCTTCATCGTACGATTTTAAAATATTTTTTTAATAGATCAATCATTCTGTTCAGATAAGAAATTTTTCGAATTTACTATATTTTTGATTAATTTTTTTATATTCTTAGTAAAATTTGAAGATAGAATAACCGAGTGGTTCAAATTCAAATTGTGCTGAAAGTAAAACGATTCGGCTCACCTTCGCTTATATTAAAAATTCTCGGTGGTTTTGGTGACCAAATGCCACCAAATTTTTAACCAAATGCTACCAAATTTTTAAGCGAATGCCACCAAATATCACCAAATTTTTACGCAAATGTTACCAAATTTTTAAGCAAATGTCACCAAATTTTTAAGCGAATGCCATCAAATGCCACCAAATTTTTACACAAATGTTACCAAATTTTTAAGCAGATGTCACCAAATGTCACCAAATTTTTAATAAAATGTCAAAAATTTTTAATCAACTTAACAGCCCATCTGCCTTATCCTAATCAGAAGAGATGGATGAATAATCGCTCGGTCATTCTGATTATTGTTCGATGAGAGAATATATTAAAATTGAAAAGGACCCTTTCACCACTCCGCCATTCCCTTTAAGTTTTCATTCCCCTCCCCGTGTCCCCCCTCTCCCCCTTAGACTATTGTTTAAGTCACATTTCTTAAGGTTTTCACCATCAAATCTATTTTATTCCAATTTTCCGAATCCAAACAGAGTTTCCATAGCTTAAAATTTTCCGCAATTTTTGTTTTTTTTTATTAATTTAATCAAAATTAAATGGAAAATTTAGATAATAATCGAAGTATCGATTACGGAAAATAATTTGGTATCCAATCTTTTATTCAATGCATTTTCCGAACAACTAGACGGGCCGCTAAAATCATTCCTACGGGCCGCCTTATCGTCGTGGCCACCTAAGTCATAATTTTTGATTGGTCTATTGTATAAACTGAGTTTGGATTGGAGTCCTTTTTTTAAAAGATGATCGGCGGGTGACGTTTTTTTAAAGTTATGTGGCTTAATTCCTTGATGAGTGGCCAAATTCAATAAGAAATATTTTCTTATTAGATTTGCGATCTTCAAAAGGCGACATTAATTTGGCTAAATTGCGGTAAAAATATGAGAAACCATTGAGGGTACCATTCGGCTAACTGGTCACCTCGAAATATTTTCTATGATTTAAAAGCATTTAGGATACCATTCGGTTATTTGGTCACCTCGAAATATGTTCGTCTTGAATTCATCTATTTGTTTAGTGGTTCACTTTTTCCTGTTCTTCTTTTCTATTTTCTTTTCCCATTATTTCCGAGATGATCGAAATTTCATTTAAATATTATTTTTGTTAATTTAATAACTAAAATTAAATGATGAAAATATTCTTTTCAGTTTTTCTCTTTAATTTTTCTGAGTAATTTTTTTTCCCGGGGAGATATTTTACTAGTGAAATCGAAAAATTGGTAAATTGGTACCCGTGTCGATTTTTAATTCAATGGCTTTCTTGGAACAAGTAAGTCTATTTTTATAAAATTATTTTTATTTATTTTTTTTTAATTCTTTATTCTTTTAAAAATATTAAGCAAAATATTATATTTATATTATATTAAAATATTTTGTTTTGTTTTTTATATTCTTTTCATTTTTATCCTTTACTTTCACCCTCTACTTTCATCCTTTACTTTTTTCCTTTGCCTTTTTTCCATTTTTCTTTTTTCCTTCACTCTTATCCTTTACTTTCACTTTAATCCTTTTTCTTACGATTTACATTTCCTATCAAATTTTTGGTACTTTTTCCAATTTTTCATAGCAAAATATTTGATTCTTTTTCATGCTATTGTTAGTTTGGCTGCAGACTTTGTTCCCATTCTTTGTTCTTTTCCAATATAAAATAAAATAAATTTTAAAAAAAATAAATAAACAATGAGTAAATAGTTAATTTTGCCTTTTTTTTAATTCAAATTATATTGGGGACATTAATTTTCTTTATATTATTAAAATATTATTTAATAAAGTAATAAAATATAATAATAATATTAAATTCAATTTTTAATGAAGATTTTTATTTTTTAATTTTTAATTTTTTAAATTAAATAAATTTTAAATATTACTTCCTTTTTTCTTTACACTTTTAGATCAATCGTATTGCATGTATCGGCGCTGGTTATGTCGGTGGACCAACATGTGCAATGTTTGCTTACAAATGTCCCGATTTAATTGTAACGGTAGTTGATATGAATTCTGAGAAAATCGATCAGTGGAATTCGGATAAACTTCCTATTTATGAGGTTATCATTTTATTTTTTTCCCTAAACAATAACAGTTTTAATAATAACAGCTTTATTTTCGTATTCCCTATTAAATATAATATGTTTACATGTGAAAAATTAAATAAAAATTAAAAATTGTTTATTTTTAGCCTGGATTGGATGAAATTATCAAAGCTTGTAGAGGGAAAAATCTATTTTTTTCGAACGATATTGCCGGTGCGATTCGTGAGGCTCAGATGATTTTCATTTCTGTTAATACGCCAACCAAGACATATGGCAAAGGAATGGTAATTTGAACTAGTTATAGTTGTTTTTTTAGTATGTTTACTTGTATTTCATGAATTTTCATAAGGTTCCATAAAATTCCATAAAATTTTTCTAGGGTATGGCTCCTGATTTGAAATATGTTGAATTGGTTTCACGGGCAATTGCAAAATATGCTGGCGGAACAAAAATAGTTGTAGAAAAAAGTACTGTTCCAGTCAAAGCAGCTGAAAGTATTTCCGCAATTCTTAGAGAAGCGCAAAAACGAGATTCTACTCTCAGCTTTCAAGTATTCTTTATTTTTTTTTGTTTTCATATTTTTTCTGGAAATATTTTTGTATTTTTCACTTTTTTCGTAGATTTTAAAAAAGTATTGCATTTATTAAGGTTTTATCAAATCCTGAATTCTTATCGGAAGGTACAGCGATAAATAATTTGGCGAACCCTGACCGAGTGCTTATTGGTGGTGAAGATTCTCCGGATGGCCTCGCAGCTGTTGCTCAACTTGTTCAAATATATGAACACTGGGTTCCTCGTGAGCGTATTATTACAACAAATACATGGTCATCGGAATTAAGCAAGCTGGTTGATTTCTTTTTTTCGCATAATATGAAATAAAATATTTATATTCGTCCAAGAAAAGCAAAAATTTAGTTGTTTAGCGATGTATTGGTCATGAATGCTGTAATAATAGCTAGTCTTATATTTACTATTACTACATACTTTATACTTTATAGTAGGTTAAAAAATTATAGTTATTTATGAATAACATTTATCACAAATCAGTGATTGAGTCGTCCAGCATGCTTTTTCTATTATTAAATTCTTTATTATGCTGTTGTTGAAAGCTAAAACGAGAGATTTTATACTTTTTAAGCAATGGTATTTAGGCTGCAAATGCGTTTCTTGCGCAACGAATATCTAGTATTAATGCAATATCAGCGATATGTGAAGCGACTGGTGCTGATGTTCGTGAAGTAGCTCATGCAATCGGATATGATAGCCGCATTGGCAAAAATTTCCTGCAAGCCAGCGTTGGTTAGTTTTTGTAGAATTTTTAGTATATTTTTTTGAGCTGGGCTTCTTTGAAAATTTTCTTTGCAAATATTTTTTTAAATGCAGATTTGTAACTTGAAAAAATTGTTTGTTAAGGTTAAGTTCGGTTTAAATGATTTCTTTAACTCTTAATAAGCTTTTTTATATTGTAATTTTTTTAGGATTCGGTGGCAGTTGTTTCCAGAAAGATGTGTTAAGTCTTGTCTATCTAGCTGAATGTTTGAATTTGAATCAAGTTGCAGACTATTGGTCATCTGTATATTTTTCTTTTTTTTGTTTAATGAAACTTTTCAATTCATATTTTTTGACTATTTGCACTCATTTAAATATAGGTGAAGGTGATATTTGAACTCTGCTTATTTGATCAGCTTGTGAAATACGTGAATATTTTTTCAACCGCTGTTTGTTTGTTTCAGATTATCAGAGCAGCTGTATAGCGATTGATTGTTTCACTCTTTTTTTATTTCCTTTGCATTGAATTGGCTTTCAGGTTGTGAAAATTAATCTTTGGCAGCGTCGACGTTTTGTCGATAAAATAATTAACGACATGTTTAATACAGTAACTGATAAAAGAATTGCTATATTCGGTTTTGCTTTTAAGAAAAATACAGCAGATACAAGGTGATATATATGATCTTGTATATATGTTTAAATATGATATATGATCTTGCTTTAATTATCACTATTTTAGAGAATCTTCTGCAATTTATGTTTCGAAGTATTTGCTTGATGAAGGAGCAAAGCTGGTTATTTACGATCCTAAGGTGCCAAAAAACCAAATTTTGCATGAATTGCATCAAGTTTGTACAGAAGAAACAGGTGAAATTATTTGATAGTCCTGTTATTAAAAATGGAGGTCTGCTTTTTTACCAGAAGTTGCTTGAGACATAGCATTTCGCCACGGTATTTATGCTTTTGCTTTTTCTTTTTCTTATGAAGAAATTAATTTAACTTCCAGTTTATCATGATTCAGCATATAATAATTATTTCTTTATTTTTGAAAATTGATATTTATTGATTTTTAGCTTCAAAGTTGGTGACAGTTGCTGCTGATCCTTACGAAGCTGCAGTCGATTCACATGCTTTAGTGATTTTAACCGAGTGGGATGAATTCAGGGTATCAGTTATCCATATTTATCCACAGTGAATTCGCTCGATTTCTTAATATAGACTCGATAATTGAAAAAAAAATTTTATGATTGCTTTCTTGATTTTATCCATCGCTTTGAAACTTTGTATTTCCTAAAGATAAATTCCATAAGGCTGTACAATGTTAACACCGTCACAAATTGAAAATTAATGAAATATTCAAATGCAATTTTATTAACGTTGTAAATTTAGGATTATGATTATCGGCGACTTTACAATTCGATGAAGCAACCTGCTTCAATTTTTGATGGACGACTTATCATTGATCAAAAAAAGATGCGCGAGATTGGATTCCGTGTATTTGCGATTGGATCGACATCGGTCAATTAATTCATTGATCCGAATAACGTTTTCTATATGGTTTGACATTTCAGATCGCCTAATCGTTTATTCTTCTCTTATCTTTTATCTTCGAATTCCTTGTTTTTGTTGTTTTCTTTTATATAATCGATCTAATTTTTCTTTCATTTCATTTTCATTCCTTTATTTTTAGCTTTCATAGTGCCTTTGTATTTTTCACTTTTTTAATTAACATATATGTTGAAGTTTCAAGTCCAAACTTTTATTCGCTGGAATCCAAGTTTTTTTTTTATATTTATTACTAATAAATTTTTTTAAATAGTTTTTTATTTCAGATTGTCAGTTTTAGTACGTTTTTAAGAAAGAATCCTTTTGCTTCAAAAAAATTTTCGCCTTTTAATATTCTTAAAATAAAAATCGTGAATATGGAATAGAATTTTAAAGATAGAATGGACTATAAAGATGGAATAGGTAAAAATAAAATTTTAAATAATAATAAAGAACTATTTAAATATATAAATTACTGGAATTTCTTTAATAAAATAATTAATTAACTTAGTTATTTTAGTGAATTTTGTTTATTTATTTTTTTCTTTTTTTTCTGAATTTCTAGAATTATTTTTCTAATATTTTCCGATTTTAAAATTGCTAAATTTGTACAATTCATCTAATATTTATGGCGTTTATCATTTCTTAACTTAATTCATTGTTTTTCATATTTTTTTATTTTTCTACTTAATTTTGATATTAAAAGTGTCTTTTAAAAATTTTTTCTGATTCTGCTGCCATTTTCTAATTGTTTAACATTCGTTAAGTGATTGATATTCTGCCCAATAAGTTTTAATTGTTTGCTTATTTTATTCTTTTGTTTATACTTGATATTAAGTTTACGATTTACGAAATGCCCCATCTGAATGCGAGAATACTCCCTATTGAATTGCAAATTGTATACTATTTATCATTTATTTTATTTTTGTTTTATTATATATCTATGCTTTCAGTATTCATTTAGAACTCTCCATTTTTCCATTTTTTTAAAAAAAAAGAATTTTTAGTAAAAATTTGCGCTGATAAATCTTTTGTTTAGGAATTTTTTAAATTCATATTACCGGTAAAAATGACAAATTTTCTATTGAAAATGTTATATATTACTTGTTGTTTTGGCATAATATTTTATTATAATTTTGATAAACTTAATATTTTTGCTTTTTTTTTTTATTTTGCTTTCATTTATTGTTAATTTTATTTATAGAAAATTTATCTATTTATAAAAAATAGATGGAAATTTTTTGAAAATTTTTTACAATATCATCTATCATTTCAAAGATAGATTCTACATGGAACTTCATATTTTTATATGAAATGGTGATACTTAAATCGTAGCGAAAGAATAAAACACTGAAATAGGAGCGTATGAATTATATGGAGAGGGGGGAGGAGGGAATTAATTCTATAATTGATAAGCATGGCGTCAGTTATGCAGAAGAATTCGTGGACATTAAGCATGTTTTAAATCGCATTACTCGAAATACCTCAATAAATATCGGTCACCAACACAGCCAAAAGTAGTCTGCAGACGATTATAGTTACGCGATGGACTTTTCTAGTGTTGTCCGGCATTGTTCTTCAATGGCTATTCACTGATATGATAAGAAAAAGGTGAGATGCGATCGGAAAAAACTGCTTCCAAATTTTGATGAAAGTTATGAGGGCAAATTGGGATAACTTTTGAGAAATCAGTCCGCTGCTTGTCTTTTCCTTCGTATAAGGCAGCACGATTCCTGAAAACAAAATTCAGGCCAAGGGATGTAGGTAGTCCCTCTACTACAGGATAAGGCACCAGTATCGCGTCGATTTACTCCTATGGGGAATAGAAGCTCAACATCGGAGCTCCAAATTGAACAACAATCCACTTTTAATATCCATTACAATTTATTTAAAAAAAAAAAAAAACTTGGCTATTGCTTAATTGTTTGGCTCTTATTTGGCGTACATTTGGCTATTTATTTTTTTTCAAATTTTTTTATTAAATATTTTTTGAAAATTAATAAAATTAAAAAAAAAAGAAAAAAATTTGTTTTATTATTTTCTGAGAAAACGCGATTGCATCTATAAATTTTCAGTAAAATTTTGCTATTTGTCTATATCAGATATTTTTTCTGATTGTTCTTCTTTTTCATCATTGTTACTATCGATAAATCGCTCGTCTTTCATCGAAAAAGTCCAAAGATGTGATGATTCCGGTGGTATACTTATCGTGGAACTTGCCTATAAACCAGTTCATCTAATAAATTTAAGAAAAATAAGTTCCAAATAAAAAATTATATAAATATTTTGGTCATTTAGCCAATTGTATTACAATTTTTATAGTTTGTTTTTCTTCAGCACTATTGGTTAATCTCATTCAACTGACTTATTGACTTATCATATCATATCATTATCAGCAACTCGGCGGCGAATGGGTCGCCAGTATTACCACTGATTTTCGAAAGGGAGGTTTATTCTTGCTTAAAGTAAAAGTTTGTCATCATTACTTCGAAATGAGAGCAACCTACTGGCACCTTATATAATTTATTTTAGCTCATTTATTGAATAATCTATTAATTTTAAATAATTAATAGCGAAAGATGGAAATAATACTGGAATATTGAAAAATAATAGAATATTAGGGCAAACCGAATTCCTCTTCACATTTACACCCGAATATCGCATGCGTAATTTTGGTGATTCTTTTTCAGAATCCACGAATATGGGAAATGCTCCATCTTTTATAAAAAGCGGTACTAATTCGGGTGGCCAAATACCATCACATATACATTGCGATTGTGGTACCTTACTTAGTTTGCCTTCTTTCACCTAAATTTTTGCTCTTATATACTCCATATTATATAAAAAGCGATTAAGAATTACAATGCTAGAAATAATAATAATTAAATATATATATATATATAAGGCGAATTTTAAGTAGCAAATAACAATTTGAAGGAAAAAAATATTTTTAGTTCCAATTTTAAGTAACCATTTTTATTTTATTTTTATTTTTATTTTACTATTGAAATATTTTATTTATGATAAAATTTGATATATATGAAAATTTTATGAAAATTTTTAAGAAAAAAATTATATGAAAATTTTTTTTGGCTTACTTTTATGGCTACGCTAATTAATGAGTCAAGATCGATGTTGTGCATAAGTGATGGTTCAATGCCTATATTTTGGCCAACAGCATTAACTAGTTCTCGCACTTTCAAGCTAAAAAAAAAAAAAAATTGTATGCAAATAATTTATAAAAATTTTAAGAAATAAAAACCTACTTGATCCATCTAAGAAAAGAAAATTATTAGATATAAGAATGGGAAATGAGAGATTGGCTCGTTTTCATCTTCACTTAGCTGATGGTTCTATTATTTTACCAGTGACTTAATTAGGTGAATTATAAATGGTGAATTAGGTGAATATCGTTGGCTTCGCAAGATGAATCGTTTTGCTTTTAGCTATTTTAGCTAATCCAATTCGAGGTGCAAAGAGATAGATATGATAAATATGAAAATGAACATGAAAAAAATTACTGTTTTGATCCAAACCATATTTTAACATTTGCAATATCTCGAAGTTTTTGCCCAATGAAATGCAATTTTCTTACATATGCTGAACCAATATCTAAAATTTTTTTTAATATTTATAGCTTTTAAAAATGGATTTTAAAATAAGTAAACAAAAAATTATAATAAATAAAAAATGAATACTATAATAAATAAAAAATAAAATAAAATGATAAGGCAAATAAAATAAATAAAATAGATAAAAAATAGATAACGAAGATTGCAAATTAATTTTCGATAATTCGAAATGAAAAGCTTAAAAAAAAAGTATATAAGTAGGAAAATCATAAAAATAGAATAATAAAAAAGGTAGAGCTACCAAGAGCGATAGTCGATATCGCAAGTCCGATACAAATATAGCCGAGAGCAATCGGAAGATAGAAATGGCTGCAATTGGAATTTTTTTTTTGATATTTTCTTATCACTAAAAATTGCCTCAATCTAACAAATCAAACTATAAATTAGCCAAAAGTCTTACTTTTTAGGTATAAGTTGTCCGTATTCGATCGCTGTAAAACAAAGAAAAACCCAATAAATACCACTTAAAAAATCGAAATTTCCACATAAATATGAAAATATTGCACCACCAATAATCTAAAAATTATTATCCTAAATGTATTTGGCCGAAATACTGCTGGTGGCGATAGGAGCACATATAGGATATGAACTCTTAAGCTAGGATTCTTAAAGCTCCAAGAGATTCCAGGAACAACACTGAAGATATATATTCAAATGAGCGCTGAGAATAGCCAAGGATATTGCGCAGAGCCGTTAAATTTTTTCTCGGATCTCTCGTAGAGGGCCCAAGATTAGAGACGATTCATAAAGGGTAAAAATTTTACAAATGTATATTTCAAAATTTACGAAAAACGCAGCTGAATTTGGTGAGTTTCTTCGATGAAATTATATTAAAAATTCTAAGGAAAAAACTAATCTGATTTGATCAATTCAAAAAAAAAAAATTTGTAAAATTATTTCGACAAAAAAAAAATAAAATAAAATATTTTAGATCGAAATTATCAAAAAATAATCTTTAATGCCATGAAAAAATCGAAGCTAAAATTAATCTAATAAATCGTAAACAATTTTTTTGCTTTTTTTTCAGCGATAAATCTTTATCTTTGCGATGAAATATTTGATAAAAATTCTTTAAATTTTTTTTTTCAAATTTTTTAAAGAAAATAACTTGAAAAATATTTGCAAATATATATAATAAATTTAACTCCATAATAACATATTTAACTCTATGAAATCTCTAAAAAGTGAGTTTTTTTTAGAAAATTTTCAAAAAAATTAAATTTTTCTTTGTTAGTGGAAGAATCAAAGCGCAGCATGAAATCTACGTGGATAAGGCCTATTTTGCTTTTATTTTTTATTAATTTGCTTACACCATAATTTATTGGTTTGGTTTTTTTTTAAAGAGTTTTCACCATTACTGGTTACACTCGCTCCACTAGCTTATCGCATCGGGCAATATGCCATAGAATCCTTTGGCGGTAGATTACACGTGAGCATCGCCCGGATTTTTGTACAGGTTTGTTCCTGAGTGGAATCGAACCTCAGCGTCGATGCTTCCAATGAAGCTACAACCCACTGAGCAGTTTTATATCCCTATTTATATGAAATAATTCACTGGTACCACAATAAGTATGATTTCTTTCTGGAACTGTAATAATTCACGCCAATCCTTATTTATTTCATTTCAGAATTTCTCTTGTATTACGTCGAAAAAAAATTATTTTATAAATTCAAAATAGAATATTTATAAAGTCGTTGATAAATATGTGGATATTTTAAATATTTTTTGCAAAAAAAAAAGCTCACCAAATAGATAACAACAATTAAAATTAAAGTTGTTGCGGATAGCGATGATATTTCATTTTTCTTATGAATTTTCATTTCAACATATTGCAAAAATGTTTGAATCCATCGGCCAAAATTCGTAAATAGAATTACAGTAACTGGTATGCCAATAAAACCATAAATAACAGCAAATACTTTACCGCTCGTTGTTAATGGTTCGATTTTGCCATAACCTAAAAATTCATTATCATTATCATAAATTCTAAATATTTAAAAATTATCATTATCATAAATTCTATATATAATATAGAATTTATATATAGAATTTTAAAAAAATGTATATATTTTAAAAAAATGATAATTTTTATGATAATTATAATAATTAAAATTTTTCTTTAGCGGAAAAGAAGAAAAATAAAATAAAAATAACCTAATGTAGTGATAATACCAAATGAATAAAGTGCAGTGGTAAGAAATGTCCATTTTTGTGATTTTAACTTATCAATAACACATTCATTGACAATACTATGAGCCAAATTTTTATCTGCGTTATTAGTCCTATACTTTTCCAATAATAAATTAACGCAATTTATTTTAGTGCTAATGAGTTGTTCGCGAAAAATTTGTTCATAACTACTTTCAAGATAGATGAAAACATATGCACCAAATATGATATATGCACATAATAAACACGTAAATAGAACATTTACACCAATAATTTTCTTTCGCTGAAATTTAAAATAACAATTTTAATAAATAAATATTTTTTATTTAAATAAATATTTATTATAAATATTTATTAAAATATTTTTTATGAAAAATGGTAAAAAGAAATGGTAAAAAAATTTAGTACAAAATAATAAATTTTCTAATCAGAAATCCGTAAAAGTTAATCCTTAAAGAAACCTCTTAAATGAGAAAATCCTTAAATAGAATAAGGGAATTAATATGCAAAATAAAACGCTCAGTTTATAAACGTCTAATATCAACATTTCATTTTAGAAGTTTTTGCTTCGTTTCGCTGGAATCGCTTCTAATAACAACTTTTAATAGATGCGAAATGAACAAAAATAATTTAACAGTTAAATAATAACATAATAAATCCTGAATATTATTGAAAAAAGATACCCGAATTTGTTAAAAAAATTTTATTGATCCGACTTTTGGCAAGAAAATTGATTGAAATTGTAATCACATAAGGCTGATAAGTCTGATAAGTGAAAATGGTGATAATAGATCAATCGCATCAGTGGTTCTCAAATTTTTTCTAGCGATCTCTTCATTCTATTCAAAAACTATTGAAGATTTATCGAAGAATTTTTCTATTTATGTGAGTTGCATTTATTGAAATTAACTGTATCGATATTAAAAAAGTGATATTTGGAAATTTTTGAAATATCCATAAATACGAAATTGATTTTTTTTGAGAAAAAAATTCAAAACTATTAGTTTTAAGTAAAATTTAGGCAAAAGTCGAGGCAGTTGAAAATAAAAATTCTCTTTTATTTTTTATTTGTTTTTATCATATTTTTCGGTGTTTTTGGTTTTTCAAAGTCGCTTTCTGGTGGAAATAAATGATCATCAGTTATATCAACAAAAAATGCAGACATACGAATCGAACAGAACCATTTCCAGTCTTTTTTTTTACTAGTTTATTATTTATTTATTTTGCCACATCAGAGTAATGAAATTTTGACACAATTGACGAAATAAAATTGCAAAACGAGAATTTTTATCATTCAGAAAAATTTAAAAAAGGATTCTTATAATATATTTTTTTAAAAAAATTAAGAAAGGAATATGCTTAAAATTTTTGAAAAATTGTTTTGAAATATATTTTATTATAAGAATGAAAAAATGAATTTTAAGAAAAATATTCCGTGAAAACATATTTTTATTCATGTGAAATGAAACTAAAATAAAATTTTCTTTCGAAAATATTTTTCGATGTAAAATTTTCATAATTTATAAATAATTTTAATAATTTAAAATAATAATTTTAATTTTGCAAATGTGAATGTAATGTAAAATAATGTGCAATAATTTTCAATGTAACAATAAAATAAACGGAAAATAAACGGAAATTTAAAATTTTCCATTAAAAATTTCTTTTTCTCTAAAATTAAATATATGTTTTTATTTATAATATATGTTTTATTTTTATTTATTTTATTTATATTTTATTTTTATTCATAATATATTTGCAAAATTCAAATACTTTGTTTAGCTAGAATATTTTTAAGCTTTATAAGAATATTCAGTTGATATGATAAAATGATTGACAAGGGTTTCTCAAAGATACATCAATTATCCGTGTCTTGTAAATTTTAGATTTGTATTTTTGATTTAGGATTATTGTATTAATGCAATACATTATATTAAAAAATCCGTAGAAGTGCAGCGAGAATTTTTAGAGGTAGTCACTGGCTTATTAGTAAAATTCGAATCTGGCTGAAGCACCACAGTGCCGATCAGCAAAAGGAGGTAGAATAGCTCAATATCACTGCTAATTTTCCAACGCCAATGCTGAAGCTCTATGTCAAGCATAAATAAACCTATCTTTAATTCCAGATAATTCTCTGGCAAAATTTGTTTGGTTCGTCAAGCCGGCGAAGAGAGCTCTACGAGCAGAATTGAGCGCTCTTAGAAAAAAGAAATTAATTAATCAAATTTTTGATAAATAGTTTTAATAGCTAATCATTAATTTTCTTAAATGAAATTAATTAATTATTTGCTAAATAAACCGATAATTTAAACTACAAATCGCTACAAACTTCCCAGAAATTTCTCAATTTCAATTATTTTACTGTTCTGTTAAGACTGTTCCTGAATAATTATTTTAAAATTATTCCTGATAAAAAATAAATCGAAACAAACAAATTCATTTCAAAATATAAATTATGATAGACCAATAAATTGATATCTAACCGGCCTATTTCACTTTATCGTTATTGGTGTTTTTTTTTGGGAGACAATGTTGATGTTCCGATATTTTTGAAATTACATGTATAAAATTAATATATAGAATTGATATTAATAATATTTTTTTATTAATATTAATTATTAATAATTTCTTTTTTGACCGAAGAAAGAAATTAAGTTAAATTAAAATGCCTAACAAGGAAAAATTTATTTTTAAATTAATAGAAAAATTGTAGGCAAATAATTTAGTATATTATTTTAAGATTTAAGGAATCGAATTTGATTTGCAATAATTAGATTTATTCTTGGAATAATTCTTATATATTTACTCAATTTTTCGATCAATTTTCACCTCTAAAATAGCAAAAAATTTTCATAAATTATAGGCTAAATTTTCTAAATTTTCTAAAAATAAATAAAATAAAATTTTTATAATAAAATAATAATTTTAGCAAGAAAATATTACAATAAAGGTTTAATTAAAAAATAAGATTATGTGGCTAAGAGAATTTTACCTTTACGGTAGCAGAATGCACAATTTTCGTCGGAACGGCACTAACTTTATCGAAATTTGCATGGAACATTTAGCTCAGCCGAGATTAAGATCAACAATCAACCAAACCCCATACGAGGAAGAATAATTTTAAATAAATCACTGGGGAGTAAAATTTAAAATATGCAAATATGCAAAGAAAAAAAAAAAGTATATATATTTTTATTTTTATAAATATATATTTATACATTTATATAATGCTGAATGATTCATTTTTATTTGATTTTATCGTTTCATTGAACAAAAATTTTTGAAAAGATTTATTATTTCTCTGAAAATCTCTGAGGAAAAATTCACGATGAGTTTCGAACAAAGTTATAAGCTATTATTTTTGCTCATTTATAATAAAATATTTTGCTTTAAATAAATAAATCCAATTGAAATAAAATTCAATTTTACTAAAATCATTTAAGTTTTGCAGAAAATTAGAGAGAAATCAATGTACTTTAACGTATCAACAATAATAATGAAAATTATTATTATTATTATTTAAAATAATTTGCATAAATATTTTATTTCATTTATATTTAATCGTATTTATTTATTTATATTTTTTTATTAGAAATCTCAAATAAGTCTCATTTTTTGCTGTGATTTATAGGCCATCGTTGCACAGTTTTATCAGAAAACCAAGTTATTAAGGATAGTTGTTTATGCTTTAAGATGGAACAAAATGGGTGTTTTGTGGGAAAAGATTTATTTAAAAAAGTGGTTAATTTCATGAAGTTGCAATTTGTTATTTTGATAGTTTTTTCTTTTTTTTTCATTAATCTATCAGAAATCATCGTTCTTCTATTATCATTATTATTACTATTATTATTATTATTATTATTATTATTATTATTATTATTATTATTATTATTATTATTATTATTGTAAAATAACGAAAAAATTGTAAAATGTTATAGATCTAAACGTTTCTTTTTTGCATTTTTTTTTTAATTTAAATAATTTCTTTATATTTCTTTTTTATTTTTTATTTAAATAAATAAATCATAATAATAATAACAATAATAATAATGATAATAGCAATAATAATAGTAACAATAATGATAACAATAATGATATTAATATTGACAATTAATAATAGATTATATCATAGATTATATAATTAACTGTTCAAAGATAATATCTTGTGATAAGTTAAATAATGAAAATTCTAAAAGCCTTATTTGATTTCTGATTTACTTCGAAGAAAAAATAATAGTTGAAAAATAAAATTTTTTTTTAGATCAGCGTCCGTCCGCTTTTCAATGAACTCTATTGCTTTTGAATATTTTAATTAATTAAAACAAATAAATAAATATAAGCATTAGAAGGGAAAAAATTTTTTATTGCAAAAAAATAGATAATTTAAAAAATAATTTATAAAATGCACATACTTCAATAATATCGCCATCATTTTCATCAGCCTTTTTTAACTGATGTAAGAAGAATGTTTGACCAAATGCATTGGTACTTCTCCTCATTATTATCTATTTTGAGTGAAATAGATTCTCTTTCGTTTCACCTAAAATATTTTTTGAAGCACAAAATATATTATATAACAGATAATAATAATAGTGAAAATAATAATAACAATAATAATAATGATAATAGCAATAATAATAGTAACAATAATGATAACAATAATGATATTAATATTGATAATTAATAATTAATAATAACAACAATAATAATGATAATAATAATAATAATCATAATAGTAAAAGCTAATAAGGAAGACCTGAAATTAAGTTGTACTAATGCGATACAAATAATAGACAAGAAATATTATTGACAATACAAGGATAAATTTAATAACATTTATTATTTAGTATAAATTCGCATATAACTATAGACCAAATAGAATCTATAATTAATTTATCAAATTAATATTATTAAATGAAAATCGTATAGAAAAATCATATCACAAATAGAAAATATCACAAATGCTCTCGAATTTATATTATGTATAGATATATATACGATTTGTGATAACGAATTATTATTTTTTTTTTTTTTTCAAATATTTAGTTCCACAGCTGTTAAAATGAATGGTTAATTAAAAGCAACATTTAATGAAAATATTGCGTTCACAAAGAAAAGAACATTAAAGCGATAATGTTTTCGCATCTGTACAGCGATATATAATTTGTGCCTTCCGAATAGGAAAATCAGCGATGGGACGATTGAAGGAACTATATGAGTTCCTTTAGCGGTGATTTCTTTGAAAGAATGCTGAATAAATGCGTAAATTTTATTTGCAGA